GCAAAAAGCATTGCCTTTAAAACCCCTTGACAGGCGTGACCACTATTTCCAGCTGGAATGAAGATCCCTGACACTTGGAAGAGTAAGAAATGCATGGAGATACTAGTTCCTGTTTTATGTAGTTTATTTTGAAGTCTCTCAGGAGTTCAGCTTTGAATTTGAATTTCATCTTGTTGAGGAGTCTTCTTTAATTCAATTGAGGAGACAAAAACCTGTAAAATTTTCTCTGGCAGTCAGCTCTAAAAACTTGTGTGTATATCTTTGTTCCTGTTGACTACTAGGCTTTATGAAAAGATTTTAATTCTCATATTTGCAGGCATTTTTGTAGTGATACATGTATTAATGACATACAGGGACATTTAAGTGTATGTTTATGTATGCACATGCATATGTGGATGGATTTACGTTACAAGCCGTTATATTTAAATAAAAAATGAGCTACTCTTTCTTCATTCTGTGAAGAGGGTGAAAAAGAGGTATGAGACAGGTCTCTTCAGTAGTCCCATCTCTTCCCCCTGTCATGGTTTGTCTTGGGTTTAAGGTGGAAAATGATAAAAAAAAAACTTTTTAAGTTGCCTTCCCTAGGAGCACTGCTCTGTAATTTGCACACACAGGCTGGGAAAGGTTTTTACTGAGACTCTAGTTGTTTGAAAACTCAGAACTGATAGAACTGAAATTCTGTTTTCCCCCATTATTACCACCTCTATACATGTGCACTGCTCAGTTGCATAATTTTCAAGAGCTGTGAGGTTTTAGCATTTTTATAAGCCTGCTCAATGTTCTTGTAATACTTTGGTTTTGAAATAATGGTTTCTTTCCGTGCAAAGGATTCCTAACTGCAATTGATGCAAGTCGGCAAATTGAGCTGGAGAAATCAAGCAGAACATCTAGAGGATGGGGAACAGTTAGGGTGAGTTTCATCTGCATTAAGTCAGCCATCGGCAAGTTAGACTTAGAGCTAGCTCTCTTCAGAGATGGTCAAAAGAAACACATCAGATGAATCACCCACTGCAGGTGTCTGTTTTCTCTGACTTTGCAGACTGCTTAGGAAAACTGCCTCAGAGGTCTTGCTTTTTGACATACAGTCAGCTGACATGAGTCCCACCTGCAGTGACTGCGTATTTAATATCAAAAAGTCAAACTTTCTCATCACTGGGAACTGTTAAGTAGGAGGAGGGATGAACAGAAGTGCTCCAGGGCATTGCATGCTCTTCTTGCTTTTGGATTGTCCTTTTTCCTGTTTCTTTGTTACTTCCACACTTTTGGTACTTTGGCTAGCAGCAATTCTGGTAAACTGCAAGAATGTGATTCCTCCTTAGAAACCAGGATATGTCCTATATGGATTCTCTTGGGGAGGAGGAGAAATAATAGTATGTCGTAATGTAAATCAGGACTATCATAAAGTATATCTGTAAAATAGAGTATTTAAGGCCACTTAAGCATCAGATGACATGAGTCCCACCTACAGTGACTGCGTATTTACTAGCAAAAAGCCAAACTTTCTCAGCACTGGGAACTGTTAAGTAGGAGGAGGGATGAACAGAAGTGCTCCAGGGCATTGCATGCTCTTCTTGCTTTTGGATTTTCCTTTTTCCTGTTTCTTTGTTACTTCCACACTTTTGGTACTTTGGCTAGCAGCAATTCTGGTAAACTGCAAGAATGTGATTCCTCCTTAGAAACCAGGATATGTCCTATATGGATTCTCTTGGGGAGGAGGAGAAATAATAGTATGTCATAATGTAAATCAGGACTATCATAAAGTATATCTGTAAAATAGAGTATTTAAGGCCACTTAAGCAGATTTAGTTTTGATTTGCCTGAGTTTTGTGATCTTCTCTTATATACCCACATGCATACAGAAATTTATATTAAAACTGGTTTTTGAAAGAAGATAGCTAACAGAAAACAAGATTGTCATCAGTGTCATTAGTGCCTATACAGTTAATTGAATTTGGAACCGACCGGACCTGCAGAAATCCCTGTTGCTGGGATTATCTGATAGCAGCAGAGATGTTGATAGCATATTGTGAGCTAGAACAAAGTAGTTCTTAATCAAATTTCACGCTGTATAAAGAACAGAGGAGCCAGATTTCAGCTTTATTCTGGACTTTAAAAGGAGTGTTTCTTAGTGAATACGTGTTTTTCATGTAACTTGACTCATCTTATCCATCTTTACCTTAAATTTGTCTCCTAATTCATTATTTGGCTGGAGTGCAAAATACAATGGTAATTCTGAATGTGCTTGGAAGCAATGATATCTTAAATCCTTAAAGTATTTCTCTGTCAGGAATGATGCATTGAAGGTATTTGCTGGAATCTAAGGAACTCAGGGTTTCTTCTGTATTTGTTAGAAAGAAGCTCCTCCAGAGAGTGAATCTGAATCCCTCTCTGTTGGCCATGCAGTGAAATAAAATACCTGAGTCAGGACCTAAGTGTAGATGCTCCTTGACTATCTATGTTTTAAACTTAGTAACTGTGCTATATTTATTGCTAAAGTTACTCCTGCAAGATTCTAATAATAATTTTGTAAACAGTGTTTTCAGCCAGCCAGTTTGAATCTGAACATCAGCAAAAAGTATTGTGGACATTTATGTGAAGTTTCTACCATTTTAATCTTAGCTACCATTTTAGTTTTCTTATTTGTGACTTAAAAAGGATAGTGGGAATCCTGCTAAAGGTTAGTGGGAATTCTCATGATGTATGTCTGTGCTAAATGGCAGTTTCTCTGCTCTTTAATTCCAGCATTTGTCTCTCATTTAGAAGTCAGATGCCTTTATTTTTTTTTCTTAAGGACCTATTTTTTTAAAAGACTCTAAGGATTCCTCATAGTTACAGGGGGTTACAGGAGTGGCTTCTCTGAGAGGCTGACAGAGCCAAGGAGAGACCCAGGGCTGGTCAGTGCCCATCAGGGGTGGTGGTGGCACCTCTGGGATCCTGTATTTGAGAAGGAAAGTTATTGCAGAGAAGCAAATTGCAGCAGAGAAGAGAGGAGTGAGAGTATGTGAGAGAAACAGCCCTGCAGACACCAAGGCCAGCGAAGCAGGAAAGGCTGGAGATGCTCCAGGCACTGGAGCAGAGATTCCCCTGTGGCCTGTCATGAAGACCACAGTAAGGCAAGGCTGTCCCCCTGCAGCCTGTGGAAGTCCATGGGGGGCAGAGATCCACGTGTAGACACCCCCATGGCAGAGCAGGTAGAAGCCTGAGGGAGGCTGTGGCCCCGTGGGAAGCCTGTGCTGGAACAGGCCCTTGGAAAAACTTGTGACCCCATGGGGGACCTGAGCTGGAATCTGTTCCTGAAGGACTGCACTCTGTGGAAGGCACCCACACTGGTGAGCAGTTCGTGAAGAACTGCAGCCTGTGGGAAGAACTCACTTGGGAGAAGTTCATGGAGCAGTCTGCTGGGGGAAGGTCCCCATGCTGGAGCAGGGGAAGGATTCCTGCCTCTGAGGAGGAGGAGGCAGCAGAGACCATGTGTGATGAACTGACCATGAACCATTCCCATCCCCCTGCACTGCTGGGGGAGGAGGCAGAGAATCAGAAATAAAGTTAAGTCCAGGAAGGAATTAACCCACTCCAGGGTGGGGAGAAAGTACTTTCAAGATTTGGGTTTACTTCTAATTATCTTACTCTGTTTTATTGGTAAAAAGTTAATTTCCCCAAGCCAAGTCTGTTTTGCCCATGACAGGGACTGGTGAGTGATCCCTCCCTGATCTTAGCTCGGCCCATGAGCCTTTGATTACATTTTCTCTCCCTTACCCATGTGAGGAGCGAAGTGATAGAGCAGCCTTGGTTGGCTCCTGGTGTCCAGCCAGGGTCAACCCATCATAACAAGGAATAAGAAAACTTCAAATTGATACCACAAGTAGCAAGGCTCGTGTTCCTGGTGTTTTCTTGTCCTTTGTACCTTTTTCTCAAGTTGGCAACAGTTGTAGACAGTGACATCGTGTGTTAAGGTGAAGAATTTCACTTTTCCTTGGTACTGTCATCTTTGACAGGCTTTTTCTTTTGATCTTATCATTATTAGTATTTTATTTCATTATCCATCAAATGCTAAGATTATTTATATGCTTGCTTTCTAATGTTTTTTATTTTCCATGTGTACACACATTTTACAGCTCACTATTAATGCTTACTAACTAAATATCCTTGCAGAGAAGTTGCAGTGTCAATAAACAGTTTCTTTTACTGAGAAATTTGTGTTTAGATTTTGTTCACTGAATTAAGAAATGCCATCTGGAAAAGAGTTGGTGGAAGTGGCTGGAAACCAGAGGGGTCTCCATGGGAAAAAAAGATTGCATTTTTGTAAAGATGCTGATTGTGGGGATCTGTGGTAGATGTGTAGTGTAGTGCAAGAAATTGAAAGGTTGTCCCTATTTGTAGGAAAAAAAGGGAAATGGCAATTAAATGAAAGGCAAAATTGAAAAGCAGGGTTTCTTTGTGAAAGGAAAAGGAGATACTTTTGGCCATTGTGTAGAACATGTTGTAGTCAGGGACATAAAAATATATAAACCAGTGTTTTACTCTTAGTGCAGTTTCTGAGATGATTCAATGTCTTGCAGGGTGAAAGAGAGCCTGCATGTGTTAGCATTACCAGTCACGAGCACCTGAAGGACTTGGAAGTTCTGCTTTCAGGATGTGTGTGCCCCAGCAATGACCCCTGCTGTTGTTGCAGGTGTGACAATGTGCTGCTGGCTCTGTGCGCACAGGGAAGAAGATATTCAGCTCTTTGGTGCTGTTTTCTCCTTAAAGATATTTTTTCATTTCTCTTGAGAGAAAGGAATTAGGCTCTAAAAGCCAAATCTGCCCAAGGCCTGTTGGTTAAACAGTCTGTGAGTGCATTGAAGGAAGAGACAAGCAATGCTAGTTGGAAGAAAACCTTTTTTTTCCCCCCATAATATTGGTAGGAAAAAAGTGCTAGGCTGAATCATAGAGGCCTGCTTGTATGGTAACTGTAATGTATTCTCTCTTTTTCTCCCCTTTGCTTTCATTTGTTTGTTTAGGTTGAATTTTCGTATCCTCCCCTAAAACCTGGAGAAGGACATGACAGCCACAGTTTACCAGAGGAGTGGAAGTACTTGCCATTCCTTGCCTTACCGGATGGCGCTCACAACTATCAGGAAGGTGAGAAATGAGAGAGAAAAGTTGTGTGTACTTCTGCTGCAGCCCAAAGTAAAAACCTGATGTCTGAACAGCTGACCAGTGATTCTTTTTACTATTATACTCCCTGACTTTTTGTTGAAGTTGCAAAATACAGTGGCAATGATACGTTCCTTTAGGTGAAAGTAAAGGTGTACCTCCTACATCCAGAATTCAGATGTCAGTAAAAACTTCAGGTTGCATACCAATTTTGTATAGTTCTAGCACAAAGCAAGGCTGCTGGCTTTCTCAGAAGTTCTTTGAAGGGTGAATAAGCTCTCCTTCACTAATTTAGAGATTCTGAAAATGACCTGCAGGTTGTGGAAAGCCATGTCAGTGTAATGGTGCGAGCTTTAAAAGGGTTTTTGATGGCAGAATGAAAATAGAAATATCCATTGGCCATATAGTCACCACAAGTTTGTGGCACTTTTTATTTTTTTAGAATTGCATTTACTCCTTTATTAGCAGTTCTGTTAATCCCTGACATTTATATTTGTGTCCAGCTTCATCTTTTTTTTTCCTGCAGAGCAGACAAGAAAGTCACTTTAAACAGCAAAATCACAGAAACCCTTTAATACTACTTTTAATTTGTTTTGGTTTTTTTTTAACATTATAAACTTAGCTTCCCTATTGTCCAGCTTTTGGAGATCTCATTTGGAAACAAAGTTTATCAAAATAGTCCCTTTCCTAGCAGCAATAAGAGTGTCGCTGACTGCTCTGGGTCACGATTTTTGCTGAATTTCTGCATTGTTAAATACATTACAAGAAGTAGGCTACATTCAAAGCTAGAAAAATCACATGCAGCTGCATTTACCTGCTGTCTCTTGTCTCAGTACTATTCCAGTTAATACTCAGCTTTAAGCATTTTTATTGCTGTGCTAGAAGAATATAAATGTTTATTTTTTGGTAAGGACAAAAAAGAGTTGGCAGCAAAGGGAATTATATATCCTTGTGTTTTGTAGGCAAGAATACACATGAATTTGAACCAGGCAAATAGATTTTCTGATATTAATTGTATTTCATTTACTGCAGCTTTATTAGATATCTGGTTTTTGAGTTGTAAATTAATTCCTGTATTAGCTGCATTTGTGCAAAGAGGATGACTTGGTACAAGAAATTGTCATACAGACTTTCTAAAACCCTAGGTAATCTCCAGAATATAAACTTAATCAAGGTAGTAAGCTTTGTTATAAAAAGTCCCCCTCTCTGTTGGTCATAATGCATATGGGATTGTCTCTCCTGTTCATTTTCTTACTGTGAAACAAACAAAAAATTAATAGTTGGTTTCAAAAAAGATTTCACTCATGTTTTGAAAGGAGAGTACAACTGTCTTTGCTTAGGATGTAACAACTTTTTTGCCAGTAGCAGCAGGTGTGTGTGTATATGTTTGTGTGTATATCTCAAGCCATAAAAGTCTTTCTCTTGTCATATTTTATAGATACTTTTCTTTTTCATTTTGCACTTGCACAGAGACAGTAATTATTTTCTATAAGACTAGGTTTCACAAGTTCTTTTTGGTAGTATAGTGCTGGTGGTTGTGCAGATATCTACCTTGGCAGAGGTAGGAGCTGCTGTAACCTTTCAACTGTGTGTGTCCTCCTTGGTGTTTGAGGTTTTTTTCCTACCTTGACTCTGTTTGCCTTCTTAATGGCATCACCCTCTGAACTGTACACACTGACTCACAGTGCCTTGCCTTTGCTCCTTTGTCCTGAATTGGGAAGCAGCATGCCTGTAGCTTTCAGTGGCACTTCTCTGTTGTCAGTAGCTGCTCCTGAAAAGTAATGTTGGCTTGGTTTAGCTAAACGTGAAGCTATCCTGCACACCTGGAGATTCTTCCACAAATTATCTTGTAATGTGAAAACTAATTTGGGTCCAGACATAACTTTATAGGTGACTTGTTCTTTTTTCTTTCCTTTTTTTTTTTTTCAGAAGATAAGTGTGTGCTAGTATTTTCTGCAGTGAACCTTTAAGGGATGCTGAAAATAAATATACCAAACTTTTGGTAGTGAATGACAAAATAGTCTTGTCTTTTTTTCTAGATACTGTGTTTTTCCATCTCCCTCCGAGATGCGGGGATCGAACCACGGTGTATGGCGTCTCCTGCTACCGGCAGATTGAAGCAAAGGTAACCTTCCAAGTGTGAATTAATTATATCAATGAATAATAGGCTCAATGCATTAACAAACCTAAAATTCAATGGCTTGCATTACACCAACAGGCCAAACCTGCATGATTGTGTTACATTAAAAGTCTGTGCAAGTGCTCACATTATATAGATCCAGAACCTGAGAAGTATTCTTTCCCATACATCAGCAGGTGGGTGTGTTGTGATCTTCTGGAATGTTCGAGGCAACTGAAAAGTACATTTTGTTTCTTGAGAGCCAATCCAGCCATCAGCATCAAGCAGTAAAACTCAACTGACAGTCTGTCAAGTGGCAAAGTTAAATTTTCAGGCAGTAGGCCTTTTGGGTGGAAAAAGTTGAAATTTCTCTCCGTAGATAATTTGAGTACTTCCTGGGATCAGGCCATGCAAGTGTAGGGATATTTCTCTTCACCTGCTCCCATTGCCAAAGATACACTTGCAGAGCAGACTGGAATCTTTCCATTCATGGTAGCTGCTTAGTGATACCAACCTTTAGCAGTAAAACTGAAAAACTGAGACGAGCCACAGTGTGCACGTGATCACGCTGAGGAAATTAAGTACTCAATCTACTCAAATCATCCCATGTTTTCAAAAATAGTAATGGTGGTATGATCTCTGCACTTAGAATTGAGAAGTTATTACAAATTTCTTTTTAAATTACTTATTTTTTTGTTTCTTGAGAGCCAATCCAGCCATCAGCATCAAGCAGTAAAACTCAACTGACAGTCTGTCAAGTGGCAAAGTTAAATTTTCAGGCAGTAGGCCTTTTGGGTGGAAAAAGTTGAAATTTCTCTCCGTAGATAATTTGAGTACTTCCTGGGATCAGGCCATGCAAGTGTAGGGATATTTCTCTTCACCTGCTCCCATTGCCAAAGATACACTTGCAGAGCAGACTGGAATCTTTCCATTCATGGTAGCTGCTTAGTGATACCAACCTTTAGCAGTAAAACTGAAAAACTGAGACGAGCCACAGTGTGCACGTGATCACGCTGAGGAAATTAAGTACTCAATCTACTCAAATCATCCCATGTTTTCAAAAATAGTAATGGTGGTATGATCTCTGCACTTAGAATTGAGAAGTTATTACAAATTTCTTTTTAAATTATTTAAATTTCAGTGAATTGCCAATAATCTGGAATGTCATGTGGATTTGAGTTCACCCTCTGAATATATGACTTGTTTATGTACTCTGTTTCTGTGTTAGTTACATCTTGATTATATTTCAAGTTCCTGTTTTGGCTCTAGGAGAAATTTTATTCATGCAGTTTTTAATTCCATTTCTTTTAAACTAAATTCCACATTGGTTTTCATTCACTCATTATTTTTGCACCAGCCTTCACTGTATTCTGTGGTTTAGTCTTGCTGTGTGTTAACTTGGCTTTATTTTGCTTTTGATTCCAGTTTATGCTTTTTAGTAACCAATTAAGAAGATAAATAGATCTTTAAAATGAACTCTTTGTAACAACTAGAATAAAACCCAATGTGTTTCATATGACAGCTCTAGCACCCTCTCCATCTGTCCTTTTTGATGTGTGGGCTGCAGTCCATACATTTTCTGTTTTGTACAGTTAAGTGAATCATTTATTTGTATTCTGCCCTCACCATTTCTAGGTTTGCTGTTAAGTGTTGGGACAGTTTGTTCTGGCTGAGAATGTAGCTTATTTTGTGGATAAACTTTTATTTTATTTTATCAAAAGATGAGATTCTTGAATATGAAACAAGAAATTTCTAAGCAGAGACCTTGTAATCTGGTCCACTTTCACATATGATGCTAGAGAAGAACAAGTGATGTGTTGTGGTTTCTCTCCCATACATTCCCCTGAGTTAAAATGCCATTTCCTTTTCCAGGCTATTGCCTTTTTCTCACACTAGTGTCTTTTAAACAGTGCTTTGCCAGTCATCACAGTTGTGTTTGGATCTTTGCTGGACATGATGAGATGAGAATACAGCTCTGACATGTCAGTGTTATGACCCTTTTTACTAGGTAGAATCACAGAATTGTCATACAGTGGTTTGGGTTGGAAGGAGCCTTAAAGATCATCTGGTTCCAACTCTCTGCTGTGGGCAGGGATGCTACCCACTGGACCAGCTTTCTCAAAGCCCCATCCAGCTTAGCCTTGAAAGCTGCCAGGGATGGGGCATCACAGACTCATTGCTTTCCTAGCCAGCATCCGAGTGGTTGAATTCTCCCATTAGGGTGAGAGCTTGTGAGCACAATGCTTCCCATTGTTGAAGCAAGGCCTTATTGACAGCCTCCCCCTGATCAGGCAGCTTGTAGTAGACCCCAGCCAGGTGTCCTTTGTAGGTGCTGTGGTTGATTTCTGTCCACAAGCTCTTGACCTGTTTGTGTCTGTTTCTCAGAGGCAGCTCTTCGCAATCTCGCCATCCTTAACACGGGGATGACACCCATGCCCCTCCTTCCCAGCCTATCCCTCGTGATTACATAAGAGCATACTGTTGCATGGTTTGGATATTCTACCACTGAAGATAGCTAGTTTTAGGATTTTGTTTAAATAGAGGAGTAGTATGTGGCAACTAGTCTGGGAAAATAATTCTTTTTGAAATGATGTTTGGGTAAAAACACTGTAATACTTCTATTTCTTAGGCATTAAAAGTACGGCAAGCAGACATCACCCGAGAAACTGTACAGAAAAGTGTCTGTGTTCTCAGCCAGCTGGTAAGAATGTTTGTTTAACTCCCAAAACACTTTCAGGTAACCTTAACAATTGTTCTTCAATATTCTTATTTGGAACATTTGGCTTCAAACATCTGTCTTAGCCATTGCAGAGTAACAAAATATTGGAGTAAAATTGAATTGGAAGGCTATGGCATTTGAGTGAACCGCCTCGATTTGTGGTATCTGCTTGTAACTGGAAAAGTGCCTGCCTGTTGTCATGGATGAGGATACTCTGCTCTTTCTTAAATGCTACTAACTCAATTTCATGTGGTAGAATTGAGGAGTTTGGCTAGTATAATCATGGAATTGATAGGGTTGGAAAGGACCTCAAAGATCATCTAGCATAGTAGCTGGAGAGAGTGGCTACCACCTTCAACTGTGAGGGAGGTTTTCTGATAGCTACACATACAGCATATTCCTGTTTTGAGGAGATATCTTTTATTTCTACTATTCATCAAAAGCTGCTGGTCACCAGGCAGAGAACAGAAATTCTTTTTGTGCTTAAAGCTGAAGAAAGAACTGTTACTGGAGCTGTCACTATTATGAACAGTTTTAAGGCAGGAAACTGCTTTACCAGAGAGATGTTCAGTGAGGTATGGTACATGCAAATGGAAAGAAAATGAAATTATTGTCATTTAAAATGAACACGGGAGAAAGATGTTGGGAGTTAGCTACTAAGGACTGCTCATCCATGAACTCTTGTGTATAATAAAGTGTCAGTATTGCAACATAAGCATGGAAGAAGATTAAAGTTCAAAATGAGTGACTAAATAATTTTATTCACTTGCTTTTGTGTTTGTTTTTCTTCCAAGCCTTTGTATGGGTTACTTCAGGCAAAGCTGCAACTCATCACACATGCATATTTTGAAGAAAAAGACTTCTCACAAATTTCAATTCTAAAGGTAACTTTCCAGTAAAATCCACACAGAACAGCTTTCAGTGTATGGTCACAAACTTTAGTATTGTAACTTAATGCTCAAATATTCCTTTTGCATAAGTCATTCAGTTATTCTGCTCCAGTAATACTTTAACATGAACTAAATGTACTACCCTAATCTGACAGAGAGTCAACTTTCTGATTGTTATGAGATACAAGTGTGGTTATCAACCTGTATCTCTGTTGATTCCATTAGTAAAACTTTGCTTTCTTTCTGGAATAAGCCATTGAAGTCCTTAAATAAGTGAATTTTATTTATTCTGGATTTTGTGTGACAATATGCCATTAACACCTTTTTTTTTGGCCTTTGTTCTAACTTTTACAGGAACTTTATGATCATATGAATAGTTCCTTGGGCAATACTTCGTTAGAAGGGTCACAAGTTTATCTTGGTAAGTGATTTGTTTTGTACAAAGCAGCAGAGATGATGTTGCACTAAACAACACATGCCTCTCCTGAGCTGATTTGTTGATGTGCATTAAGAGGTTAAGCACCCAAGGTCTACATTTCTCTATTAATGGATTTAAATAAATGTAAAATGTAGTGTTGCTTTCATGATAGGAGTCAGTTGCAGGTTGAAAGCCATATTACTCTTTGACCTAACAGTCTGACTAGCAGCTGTTTATGTGCTTTTGGTAAACAATACCTTAAGCACCCCACACCATCAAATTGTTCAAATTTGCATGTTATTACCTGTTATTTAGGATATCTGACCACCAAGTTCTGACTCTTCCCTGTGCTTTCTGAATGCACAGTGTAGTATTTACCTCAGTAGTTCCCTAATGCTGTGTGGCAGCCAAGCGGTGTTAACTCAGAGCATAACTACTTGTTGTTCTTGTCTCTATTGCTGATGAATTCTTGCTCCTGCTTAAAAAAAAATCAAAATAATTCTGTATGAATTCTGCTATTGAAATAACCAGGTTCACACAGACTCCATAATGGGTATCTCCCACATGCTGAAAAATGGTGACAAGAAGTAAATTAGTGTCCCTATCAGCTGTTGAATTGTTAATAATTGCTCTCTTTTTGGTGTCTCAGGTCTGTCTCCTCGGGATCTTGTTCTCCATTTTAGACACAAGGTAGGTATTCTCTACTAGATATTTAAAGGACTGTACTATTTAGAAATAGAAATATAATAGAAAAATGAACATATCTAGACATACCTGAGCTAGGAGTAAGAAGACTGTTTCCTACGTACTGGTATTTACACAGCCTCCTGGTTTTTCCCTGCAATTTCGCCTGCATAACTTCAGTGAAAGCATGTTCCAGACTAAGGAGTTTTGTTGGTCTGAGGGATTCCTGGAGATTTCTAGGTTTGTGTGACATTTTTTAGTCCTGTCCCAAAGTGCAAATGTTATCTCATTTGTGCTCTGGTTTCTATTTCCTGTTTCTCTTTTGATGAATGATAAAACGACTATTGCTAAAGTCTGTGCAGACACAACATGGAGCATTTTTCCCTGACATTTTTTAGTCCTGTCCCAAAATGCAAATGCTATCTCATTTGTGGTCTGGTTTCTATTTCCTGTTTCTCTTTTGATGAATGTGATAAAACGACTGTTGCTAAAGTCTGTGCAGACACAACGTGGAGCATTTTTCCTGTGTTTTGTAAATTTTGTAGCTTCTGCTGTCACAGAACCTGAGGGGACTTGGACCTGTCCTCTTTTTCCTAATTTCTGTTGAAATTGAGTATATGTGCTATAGCTAAAATACAAGTAGCATTTATAATTTTTTATTAACTGAGATATATCAAGGAAACAACTTTGAGAATCTGAATTTCATGGTGTATTTGCACCTGCTCAGTAGATTTTTGGGGTAGAACTAATTTTTGTTTAACTTCAGATGTCTGCCAATCGTACCCCAGACACATGTGTGTTTTTCCTTGAGTGTAGACAGTCTGGACAGCCACTTCTGATCTAGATGCCTAAAATTAGGTGAGGTGAATATTCTTCTTGGTTTTTTGCTGGATTTTTTTGAGTAATTCTGTGGAGGAAGTCTTTTATATTTATGTAGTTTACTGTTTTTAAAATGATGGAATTGCGCAATGTGTTCTTTCTGCTAAGCTGTGTACGATTCAAATTACCCAGTTCTTTTTTTGTGGAGGTTTTGATTGTTTTTTGGGTGTTTTTATTCATCTCATGCTATTTTAAAATGTGTGCTCAGGTGGAGAAAGGGTATTGGAACACTGGTTTTCACTGGTCAGATGCATTTGGTCATTTAATTATTATGCAGTGATTAACAAAAAACCTTGAACAAGAGGTTATGCTTGCACATTATTTTTGAAAAATGGCACTGGTTCACTCACCATTTTTTTCTTTTTGTTTTTTTTTTCAGGTCTTGATCCTTTTTAAATTGATTCTTCTAGAGAAAAAGGTAATGTTATGTAAGCTGAGGCAGGTAGTTTAAATAGAAAACATATTTAACATACTTAAAACTTAGCTGTTAAATATTTTTCATCTGTAAAATAGAAGCATCTGAAGTCATATCAACAACTTTATTTCAATATATAAATTGGGTTATTAGGTTTAAAGCAACTGCTGTGTGTTGACCTATCCATTTGCCTTCACTTCTATCCTGTCCACACTTTGTTTCTTTAATTGCTATCGCAGCCAAAGTAAAATGTGATGAAATGTGACCAGAGAAATGTAAAATATTATAAAATATAGAATGGGATACACACCATGCAGATAGGTACCTGTGTGGAGGAAGTGATAGGAAATGTGGGTACCTAAAAAGGCACAGCTTTACAGAGATTCAGTAAGTAGAACTTCTGGTTCAGGCTTTAAATAGACAGACCAAAAGAAATGAGTGCTAGAAGTGTCCTTCAAACCTGAATTCCATGGACACCTGCAGGAGACAATGGAGAGCTGTATCCGTTAGGTCAGGCTGAACTCAGATCATAAATTGGTAATAACTGCTGAATTCTAGGATCAGTGCTTGCTTTGGGCTCTCTTACTGCCTCAGAAGCAATGCTGTTTTAGTAATTTAAGTGTAATATGCAAAATGTGAAAGTAGGACTTCTGTTTTCTTCTGTGTTCATATTAATGCCCTGGAGCAAGAACTTAGAGTGGAATGACTGTATCAGCTGCCAGACATATTTATGCAGGGATTTTGTTTTGTTTTGGTTTAAAAATGTTATTTAAAGCTTTGTTTTAGTTTCCCAAATGCTACTTTTTCTTCAGTGAACCTGCTGTATTAAAACCCAACTTTTTCAGAGTGCTGGGAAGGCATGTTAGAATTTCCTGTTAGCTGCAGCTGGAAAGTCTGTAGGATTTAATCTATAAGTTATCAGAACAGTTGTGGAGATGTTTATTTAAGTCTGTGTCTGAGACCTAGATATCTTTCATGAGGCAGTAAATATGCTATTCTGTTTTAAAATAGATGTAACAACTTCTCCAAAGCTTTTGCATTTGTCGCTTAATTCTGTAAGTCAGATATACCTTGACAGTTCTCTGTATTTATTGATGAGAATAAATGCAGTTTCTGCATTAAGGAGGCATATGCTGAAGATGACTATATTAAAGGCTATGCAAATGGTACACTTGAGAAAATACAATTATGGCACAGTAGGGGTCACCAGATCAGTTCAGCATTTGGACAAGTACAAAGAAAATACTTCACTGAGCTACAGTTCTTTTGTGAAACTGCTCAAACCACAAGACGCAAATGCACAGGAAGAGAGGAGAGAGAAATTTCCCAAGTGTGTTCACATTACTCAAACATACAAAGTTGTTTTGAAAGTAACTGAATGCTTATGGAACAAACCTGCAGGTTGCTTTGTGTCTGGTTTTCCCTAAGCTCTGACAGGAAGACAACACTTGCAGTTTCAAAAGAAAGGTTTGGTTTTCAGGCACTGCCTGTTTTCTGGCAAATGTTATGGTTTCAGAATAACTGTGGGAATCTGTATGTTCAAAGACTTTAAATATAATATGCAAGAAGCCACCGTAATGCCAATTTTCCTTGATCTGGAAAATGCCACGGACTAATTTCCTTTAATCTGTAGCAATTTGGTTGATGTTTTTCCACAGGCTAAAAGAATTTTTTTCACCTCTCAGTGGTTATTAGGCTGGAAGACTATTTCCAGATGGTGATAATTTCAATTTCTGTGGCCAGGACCACCCAGTTTGCTGATGTAAATGCTGTGGGCTGTGTAGTGGGGTTGGGAGGGGTGAGGAACTGTGCATCCTGATAGAAAGATGGCAGAGGGACCTGAGGAAACAAATATACAAAAGTATTTGCTTTAAGTAATGGCTGTACCCAAACAAAAACCTAGACTGGAATAGATTTCTTTAAAACAAGGTGCTTCTTTATAAGGTTAATTATTTCTGTAGCCTTAAAAATAAGCTTGACTAAGAATGCATGGTGTCTGAGAATCTAAACCTGTGGGAGTATCACAGGGTTTCTGTTGCAGTTCATTGCTATTATATCATGCATTTTTCATGCATACATTATAAAGCAACATCTTCAAAGTTAGATATTTTTATTCCCATTGGAGTCAACCAAAACTCTTTACACAGATGAGCTGCTTGTTCATCTCTTTGTGCTTTTTCAGTGGTTTTTGCAGTTTGAATTCACTTATCTTGCACAATTTATTTGTAGTGTGTTTAGGATAATACACAGAATCTGTCTTCAGCTGTGGTACCATTAAATATCATTTGGCCTGTGTTAAGGCTGTGTAGGTCCTTCTTTGTCCCATCAGTTCACTAGCTTGGAGACTGGCAAACACTAGTGGAACATGAGCTATTATTCATCAGTCTCTTCTGAAGTGTCTTTCTTACAGCGGAAGTCTCTTATTAAGACTAAGTCCACAAACTTGCACTTGTAATTACATCATACACCTGTTAAACTGGACTGCACAGTTATAAAGTTAGGTCCTTCAGTATTCCTTTGATTCCTTGTAATGCTCATGGATGGTGTTTTACTGGTATTGTGCTGATTAAGGATATAAAAATGGCATTTTTAGACAAGTTTACTTTTGTAGGGATTTTTTGGCGTTGGGTTATTTTAGTTTGGATTTGTTATTTGGGTGGGTTTTGTTTTTTTTTTCTTTTCCCCCCCTTTTTCCCTGAAGGCCTATTTTGAAGAAATTCCAGTAGTAATATTCAGTCTGGCTTCTTTTTCTTCTCTCATTGCTAGCCTTTGACACCCCCTTTTGAATTCCTAACTAATTTACTAATTTCAGTCTCTCTGATTTAATTGAGGAGATTCTGTTTTCCCATGTTATGCCTTAAGTGCTTTACCAAAGTTAGTGTCAGTCATGTCTTCTGTTTCCAAAAAATTTTTTTTGTTATATATGAATATTACTGTAATAAATGCATGCAGCATTTATCCTCTTTTTAGTTTATCTACATATCCTTAATATAACTCCTTAAAAGAAATGTTTTTGCATAGGTTTGTATCAGTGTTCTGGAATGGAGATTATTTGGCCTCTTTGATTTCTAACAGAGAATTTAATGTGCTACAAATGAGCAAGAATTTATGCAGCATGCCAGGAACAGCTTTTTTCTGTCAGTTCTTCAATAACTGGATCAATTTGGAAAAAATCTTAAAAACCAGTAGAAAAACGTCAATAACTGAGAAGTGTGTTACAAACATGTGTGTGTCTATATACACGTATATATAACATATGTTACAAATATTATATAAGGATTCTGTAGACATATCTAAATGTTTACTTTGAAGTGTTGTAGGAAGTTTTGTTAGTAAGTAGACTTTCTAATATAACATAAAAGCAGTGCCTTGAATAGTTTGCATGTGCAGTTTGTCATGCATAAGTATAATGTCATTTTTCTCGTTCTCCCCTCCCTAATTCCCCTTGCCTGTCTTGCATTCTCTCTTCCTCCCATTACCCTCCCTTCTGCCACCAGGTGCTGTTTTATATTTCTCCTGTAAATAGATTGGTGGGAGCTCTGATGACTGTCTTGTCACTCTTTCCTGGTAAGAAAAGAAATTTGAACTTCTTTTTGTATGTATGGTGATAACTGAGACAGGTTGTGCTGTCACGTGGAAATCAACTCATATGATAATAAAGTTAGGTTGATATGGTGCCTGAAAAATGGGTGACTTGTGTGCATGTCCATGTACTATGCACACACCTCCTAACACTTACTACTTGCACTTTATGGGTTATTTCTCGTGCTTAATTGGAGCTACTGGATCTTCTGTATTTCCTGTAGGTAACATAGATGGGACCCCTGAATAAGTAACACATTCCTGTTGAGTTCCTTAAAGCCCCAAAATATAAACTTTTCCTTCCACATGTGCTCTTAAAAAACAAACAAACATAACCCCTAACCTTGCTAATCCTTAGCTTCTAACCAGTCTTCTTAAAGCAAAATGTTAGGGCAGATTCTTTAGGAGAGAAAGTGTAGGGTTTGGGTTGTTTAACACACCCTTCCCTCCCCAAAGTTGTGTTTTAAATTATATTATTTCCTCTATGTACACAAAAGCAGGGGATTTTTTCCCCATAAAAATCACTTAAATTTTGATTGAAATGCTGATATTCGTGTGTGCTGTTCTTCCCAGGTATGATTGAACATGGTCTTAGTGACTGCTCACAGTACAGACCGAGAAAGAGCATATCAGAGGATGCTGGCTCGCAGGAAAATCCACCACAGTTAGATGACTATGTTTCTGTGTCTGCTGCTGATGCTGCAAATGCAAATTTAGGAATGGGAAAGGGAGACAGGAAGATGGCAGGAGATAATTCACTGGAAGATCAAAAAGCAAATGTGCCTTTCTCCCAGGCCGAGAAGACTTGCAATGGAGCTCAGTCCTCCAATGGTACTGTGCAGCGCTTGAAAGTTCCTTCCCGAGCTTCTCCAGCATCCTCAGAAAGTGACTGGGAGACCCTGGATCCCAGCATTTTGGAGGAGTCTAATTTGAAAGAAGGAGAACGTGAGAATGCAGCGTCAGAACAGGCGGGAAATGTTCGGAGCAAAGCTGTGAGCTCTGAGGGCCTTCCCATCACTGTGCAGCCCCAGGCAAACACGGGGCACACGGTGCTTGTTCAAGGCCTGGTGTCTGGGTTGGAGGAGGACCAGTATGGGATGCCACTGGCTATTTTTACAAAGGTAAGAATGTTCTTGGTGGTACCCGGTAACTCAGAAAGACTTCTTTGTTTCCAGAAGTGGCTAATAATTTTTCTTACTGAACTCCAGGTGGACAGTAGGGTTCTCCAAAACATGTTAGTGCGGTCACTCCCAGGCAGCTGGAAAGGCCTGAGAGGGCCTTGCTTGCATATCTGCATCCCACTTTCATACCTTTAATACCATTTCCAATTCTTTTAAAATTTTACATGGTGGTAACCTGCATCTCCCTTGTGGTTAATAAATTATAAGTAGCAGAAACTACAGTTTTCTTTGAGGAATTGGCTAATAATTTTTCTTACTGAACTCCAGGTAGACAGTAGGATTCTCCAAAAAATCTTAGTGTGGTCACTCCCAGGCAGGTGGAAAGGCCTGAGAGGGCCTTGCTTGCATATTTGCATCCCACTTTCATACCTTTACTTTAATACCATTTCCAATTCTTTTAAAATTTTACATGGTGGTAATCTGCATCTCCATTGTGGTTAATAAATTATAAGTAGCAGAATCTACAGTTTTCTTTTACTCTGAGGAACTGGTGATCTAGCCTATATAGGGCAATATCAGAGTACTTCAGAAGCTTTTAGATATCTTAATCTAAACAAAGATTCTGGGAACTCTACCTTTGCTGACACCTGTTTCCCTGTTTTCATTTATATCTATATATGTATTTTTAAATGCATATGTGTATATATGCACAAAAAGTGTATTTAAATACATATATACACACATAAAAATATATATAAGATGAAATTTCACCCTCCTGCTTCCTGTGTTATCCTGTGATAACTCTCTTTATGTTTGTCTCTGTCTCTTTCTCTGTGCATGGAGCTGCTGAATTTTAAGCTTGCACTGATACCTAACTGAACTGGTATTCCAGAATCTCTAAGGACTCTGACAGACATAGTCAGATAACAAGCAATAGTTAAATATTTCTCTGTGCATGGAGCTGCTGAATTTTAAGCTTGCACTGATACCTAACTGAACTCCAGGTATTCCAGAATCTCTAAGGACACTGACAGACATAGTCAGATAACAAGCAATAGGTCTGGTAAATAGGGCTGGTTAGTAGAGCTAGTTTGCCTTAAAAACTTGCTGGTTAGTAGAGCTAGTTTGCCTTAAAAACTTGCTGGTTAGTAGAGCTAGTTTGCCTTAAAAACTTGCTGGTTAGTAGAGCTAGTTTCCCTTAAAAACCAGGTAAAATGCATCCCTTTTAAAGAAACTGCTATCAATAAAAGAAGCTATATAGTACAATTAATTGTGTTGTTTTTAATGCAATAAACTCTTAAATGAACATTTGCCCATAGAAGATTCATATTTACTTCCTCGAGGTGCTGATGTTCAAAGTGTTTTTTCTTCATTTGCAGGGGTTTATTTGCATCTCTTTGCAGAATATTGTATTTTATGATTGTGTTTAAGTTTCTCACTGTAGCTTTCATTGGAAATAGTACACGGTGTAGGTCCAAGTGAGCAGCTCAAATGTCATTGTCCTGTATTGCCTCATGTCACCATCAGAAATGCTGTTTCAACAAAGATCTGCATTTGATGTTTGTCCTTATGATCTGTCTAATGTGAACTATAGCCTGTAAGTTGCATTTAATCTAGTTCTTTGAAAATACTAGATGGAAAGCAAGAATAAAATAATTGATAAAGGGACTTCCAAGTGCAAACTTTTGTTTGTTGCTGTGCTCATCAAATGGAAAAGAATTTTAAGGAAGCTGACAGTTTCTACATGTTTGCCTTTTGTTCCACAAAGGCACTTTTCACTTGAGTTCAACCAGTGTAATTAAAGCAGAAAGGGCTTTGCATGTCTGAATTAGCAGAAAAATCTGATTCAAAGTCACCGTTTTAACCACTTACTGGAAAGTTTACATCTCATTTAGAGCTCTTAACACAGGGTTGTTTTATGCCATGCCATGGAAAGACTAATAAATCTGACAAATTTGAATGGGAGGAGGTTTTGCCAGGTGGCATAATACATTATCCAGGTACACCTGAGCATAAGGAAAAATAGCTTGTGGTACTTGTTTCTTTAGGACCAGTTCTGTAAGACCTAATAGTCATTTCATCTGCACTCTTTTAAAAAAGAATGGAACACGTTCATGAAAATAAAAGTTGTACTTACAGATGTGGATTTGTAAACTGACATTTGATACTTTAAATAGTGAAAGATTTCCCCGACTTTGCTACTTTAGTATGCAGTAATTAAACCTTCCTCTTCCTGCTTCTTAAGCTGTATTTTTTGAAAACTATCCATCTTAGGTTTGTGATTCCTTTCAAAGCACTGTTGTTCTTTTGACACAGGCTGTTTGTTTTCAGCTGATAAGGGCTTGTCATCTCTAAGGCTGTCCCTGTGTCTAATACAACAAAAGGCAGTAGTTATGCTCCTTTCTTCCATATGTTTCCAATTACCATGTAGTGGGTGATAAAAGTGTGTGTGCTCTTTGTTTTTGTCCAGTGTGCCATTAGCTGTAGTGAATAAATTTACTTTGGGCGTAATGCAGTTGAACAGCTGGAATAAGATGTCAGAGGTATGCTGATCCTATGTTTAAAAAGAAATTTACCTACATCTGCCTCTCAGTAATCCCTCAATGACTAACTCAAAGCCTTTTTTCAAAATTTTTTTTTAATTGGAGTGAAGGATACTAGATTAATTTACAACACTGAAGTGGCTCAAAGCACAGTGTATTACTTTCTGTCCTCTCCTTCTTAAAGCAGGCTTGCATATACTTATCAAAAATTGATTGCTATCTCTGGTGTCTGGAAATCCCCACCCACAAAATGTGGATAGCTGTCTGTAGCTTTCCTGCACTATGTGCCTCACAACTACCAGAAGACATCATGTGCACAACTGGAGAGATGAATCCTTATTTCCATTGGCTTCTTGTCTCTGAAGTGACCTGAGGCCTCATTCTTGTTGCTTAATATTGCTCTTATATTGCTTATTCTGTTGCCTTACAAACACATTAAATTCTCGTCCTTTGCTTTGGATTTCAGTTTCAGTCCTGAGACTGAAAGGCAACACAATCTCTTAAAAAATTTAATTTGCATGGAATCTGGTGGCTTCGCTTCACAAATGTCACAACAGGCGATTGTGGCTGAGACTCTAATAACCAGGGTTCATTCTGGGTGAAATATGCTGGCTTTTATTAGGAAAACCTCTGAATCCAGGCACTTTAGTTCATGTTATTTCTCTGAACGTCTCTGTTGCTCCAGGGGTACCTCTGTTTGCCGTACATGGCGCTGCAGCAGCATCATCTCCTGTCGGATGTGACGGTGCGCGGCTTTGTGGCGGGAGCTACCAATATCCTGTTCCGTCAGCAGAAGCACCTGAGCGATGCAATTGTGGAAGTATGGATCTTTACATTTGGGCTGGGGGGAGAGATGGGTGGAGCTGAGGGTCTGTTTTAAAATGTAGCTTTGCAGTTTCACATGCATGCCTGAATTTTGAATTCCTTCCATATGAAATAAATTCTCGGCTGCAGAAATTTGTTAAATTTCTATGACTTGAGCAGACAGGATTAGATAGGCTGTGCAAAACGATTGTCCTTGTTTTTATATGTATCTGATATTAGCATTTGCAAGGCACTTCTTAAATTTTTTTTGTGTTGGTGATGTAATTTCATTTTTCATATCATGGGCTTTTTCATGGTTTTTTAGTGAGGTCTTCAAAAATAAGTGCTTGCAAGTGAGAATCAGTGCAGGTACTGATTTGACTTCCATCTGATTGAATCAATAGGGTAAAAACACAGTATCTAAAACACCCACTGTGTCACTTCTAGCAGACAGACACAACTATATAATCAGAATCTGGTAGCCTAAGATGATTCCATATAGGTCATCACCTTAATAAATAGAGGTGATAATCAAAGAGCACCATACTTCTCCTGCCAAACTTTCTGCCAAATCCTGTCAAATAAGCAGCATTCACTGTGTGCCAGGGAAATGATCGAATTCTGGATAATTCAGAGCAGTTTCTGAGAACAGTTAGTTCATTGTTGCTTTGGCCATTTGTTTTTTCTTGGTATTTTGGGGAAATGAGGGTTAAGATTTAGGTAGCAATATGTAGTAGTGTAAGTTTGTATAAGCAGTTTTATTTAGATAAATGTTTACTCTTGGAATTATTTCAAACAGATAGAAGATGCTCAGGTGCAAATCCACGATCCAGAGCTCCGTAAGATCCTGAACCCAACAACTGCTGACCTGAGATTTTCAGATTACTTGGTGAAGCATGTAACTGAGAACAGAGATGATGTGTTCCTTGATGGCACTGGATGGGAAGGAGGAGATGAGTGGATCAGGGCTCAGTTCAGTGCTTATCTTCATGCACTGCTTGCTGCTGTGCTGCAACCAGGTAGAACAGATACCTTGTCTAGGGATGGAGATGAGGGTGGGCATGGCAAGCATTTGCTCTGTTGCTGCTGATGTGTGGATCTCCCGCTGCCTAAAGTTTCATTTTAAGCTGCTTTTTCAGTTGTCTTTGGCTGTCCTTGTTATTTCTTGACAAGCTTGTTATTAATCCTTAATTCACAGTCTTACAGACACTTTCTTATTAGAATGTCTTCTCCGTGATTTAATTAAATTTTCCTCATAAGTAGAAGTACCTGAAACCTGTATCTGATGAGACTTACAAATCTGAGTATTGCAACCTGAAGTTAATTTTGGGGAACTACTTGGATTCAAGGAGACATGAAGTTAAGCATCTGTCTTCAGGAAGTTTTGCTAGACTGTTCCAGCTCTTTTCCCTTCTTGCTATGGTCCTAATTAGGGATTCACATATGTGAAAAGTATCATCTGCAGGGTTTATAAGCTTTTGTTTCCCAGAGCTCAAAATTATTTGCTTTATCTCAGAAAGAATTCTCTATGTCCCAACCTTTTGTGTCACTATAAATAAAGGAATCAGCGTTTTTTATTTGTGGAAAATGTTTAGTTTGCCCTGCAAACTAACTCACCCTGTTAACTTCATTCTCATAGTGATTTTTCTCTATTCACACCAATTAAATTCAGATTTTGTTTTGTGGTATATATGAGAGAACATAGGATTGAGAACCTGCTTTTAAAGCCTGGAAGATGCCAAGTTCTTGGTCTGACAAAATTAATATTTTAAAAGGATTACCAGATTGATATGAAATATCAGGGTTTTTTGAAAACTCATACTACTTCACTGGCTGGCTGTTAAATTATTTCCTATACTCTTCAGTGTTTTAAAGATATTGTTATGATAAGTTCATTCCACAGTATTTCCTGCTGCAGTTTTGGAATGGATTTGGGAGTTACTAAATTCGAATGAGTAATAACAGTACAGCAAAACCCATTATGTCTGACCAAGACCAGTGCAAATTGGTTTTGTTCTTGGTTTTGCTGTGTGGTCATTCTTTTCCCTTTTCTGTCATCCCCCAGAGAAAAAGTCAATTTGCATTATTTTTTCCCAATTGAGCTCTTGGAGCTTTATAAATGAATTAAAAATGAGTAATTTTTAGCTTTTTTTTCCCCCTCTTGTCCTGGTACTGTATAATTTTGACACTTTAAAATAAAAATAAACCATTTTTGAAGTACCCATGTTTTAGTATTGGAGTTTTAATTGTTATGGACTCGATAAGAGCCTGGAAAATGAATTTTTTTCTTACAAGAAAAAAAGTAATTTGTCTTGTAATTATTTAATCTGTAATGAATTTCTTCAAATTCTCTTTATTTTAATTTACCAGACAATGAAAAGATTTTGTCAGACTTTGGAACAGGATTTGTAACAGCCTGGAAAAATACCCACAACTACAGAGTATGGAATAGTAACAAGCATCCAGCTCTTGCAGAGGTAAATTCTAGGTAAGGAAACTTTGTAGTATTTACTCTAATTCTGTGTAGTAGTTTTGTGAAGAAAAACGTATCCAGAGTCTGGAGAAGTGAAACTCGTTCAAGTTGATTGTCAGCTGTCCCCAGCTACAGAAAGTTTGTCATTCCTCAGGAATTGTCCTCAGATGGTTCTGCTTTGTGTTAATTGCTTCGAGGTGTGCAGGGAGTAGCTGTGTCCAAGGTTGTCACTGGTGGGATAGAGGGAGCTGCCTGTTCCATGTGTATTTTCACTGAGATTTGGCAGTGCCAGGCTTGGTACCACTGTTGGCTGTGCATGTGTTCTGTTTAGTGTGGGTTATTTCTCTGCTGCAGGGAGTTTTGTTTGCTTTTACTTTGTCAGTTGCTGTAGTGTAAAAAAGGTTTTTCCTTAGACCTACAAAGCTCTTTTGGTCTATTTAAGGGATGTTTTCTATTTGCCATGTGCTGTTGGAATGAGATGCTTTTGACTTAGTGTGGAAAGGTTGTTAATATCTCATCTGTAAATAGAAGTCACCTTTCAGGTAGCTCATAAGAAATCTGTCATTGAATAGTCACTGCAACCCAGACTTCTGTGAAGTGATAGAGCAGTATATCTGCAAAAATATTTTTTCAACTTTCTTTTTTTTGGTAAGTCACAGAGGGGAATAAAGCTAATAATTGCATGATACAGGTTCATAATGAAAAAGAAATTAATGTTTTCTTGGATTTTTCCTCCTCTTCTAGCCATCCGTTCCAGGGACAGTACTCTGTATCAGATGTTAAGTTAAGGTTGTCACAGTAAGTACGCAGTTCTTTGATTTGTGTTTTTTAGAAGGGTGGTCAAATATCAATAACTGCATAACTGTTGCTGTAATGAACTCAACAAGATAAGGATTCAAATTGGCCATCTTCATGAAATGATACTCAAAAGTTCTGCTGCAAAACAGCACCAATCTAAAGATGAAATATTTGCCTGAAATAAATAATAATTTTAAATAAAAGGTAAATGTGCTATTTTGTGTTGGACTTCACATAATAGAGCCTTAATTTTTTACATTGCAATTGTAAGGCTTTTGTATGTCTACTTTTAATTTGTCAGCTAAAGCTGTTAAAACTTCCATCAGTGATTTGACTTTAGGTCTCATTATTAGGAGAAAAATTCTTTCTAATTAGCTGGTTTTTAATACAGTATTGTTCTAAAACTCATAGTTCACTGTATGCATAGTGAGATGTGATTCAGTTCCTTCAATTTACAAGTTTCAAATTAGTTTTGTATAGTCTTATTGTACCAGAGTCAGCTGAACTTGAAGTTGATCTCAACTGCTGCCTTTAAAATTCAAGTCTACAACTCAGTGGTGCTTGTTTTTCCCATAGCTGTTCAGCTCTAACTGAAGCCAGAATTCAGCCTGGGGTTTATGCACCAGGCAAAATGAATGTTTTTCTCACTTAGCTCTGCTGACCATAAAACAACAGTCTCTCTCTTTTATTAATGGCTGATCTTTCTACAAAGTCGGAATTTGAAAGCTCTGAAGGTGTCTGTAACATTGGCCTGTTTTTGTCCCCTTGTTTGAAAGGGGAGTTACTAACTCTTCTGCGTAGTGTGACATCACTGTAAAAGGACCAGTAGTTCTTAGTGCACTTCCAATAGTAAGTATTTTTACAACAGTGCCTTTATTCTGCAGGTAGGACTTAGATACCAGATCCTCATCAAAATTACTTGCCTTTGCAAACTGACCTAGACCTTGTTTTGGTGTATTCTGGTTTTTTTTTTCTTTTTCCATCTACACTGAAGATTTTGAAAATGGGAAAATGGCATGATGTGTTAAATTTCACATTAATGGGTTTGCAAAGCCTGAAATGTGGACTTGAAAGTTACAATTTAAAACTAAATGAGATTATTTTCAAGTGATTGTATTTGTGCAATAGAACGGATTGCTTTTGTGCTTTTCTTTCCAAATGATGATCATGTCTGTCATTTTCTTGCATTTCTTTAACAAAACCATGAGTGTGAACTGTCCTTGATCAAAAACTTAATCTTGGACAAAGATATAAAGTAAGCTTTACCTAGAAAAAAAGGACTGATCAGTTACACTTGCTGTTCTATTTAAAGGTTATGTATTAGGGCTAAGAATTCCCAAAACTACTGAAAATATTACTTTGTAATTTTGATCATAAATGCATTTTGGTAAACATTTAGGAAATTGATTGAATATTGGAATGGGCTGCCTAGGGAGGTAGTGGAGTCACTGTCCCTGGAGGTGTTTAAGGAAGGAGACTGGATGTGGCACTCAGTGCCATGGTCTGGTTGACAGGCTGGTGTTCAGTACTGGGTTGGACTCCATGATCTCAAAGGTCTTTTCCGAGTTGATGGAGTCTGTAAGAATGAACCATTGGGTGTTTTGATTTCCTGTCCTGCTGGCAGCATCTTTTCATCCTCTGAGGAGCTTCCCTAACTGATCTCTATGCATAAGATGAATGCAGGAGTTGGGCTTGACCATATATGTGAAATATTTACATGTATGTATGTATGCTATGTAAATCTGTGTGTAATGATACATACTTTAACTAGTTTATTTGCACCTGAGAGTAGTAAGTCAGTCAACTAACAGTCTTCAGTATCTTTCTTGTTCAGTTCAGTGCAAAACAGTGAACGTGGAAAGAAGATTGGAAATGTGATGGTTTCTACCAGCCGGAATGTGGTACAAACAGGAAAAGCTGTAGGTAAGAAATCTATTTAAAATCAGTTTACATCTATCCTGGATCTTTTTTGAAGAAGCATCCTATTTTTCAGTTATATTTTGTTTTAGTCCAAGTGTATTTTATAACATGCACAAATCAGAGCAACATTTTGAAGGGTATGGCTGCTGATGGAGGCCCCATATATTGTAATAGCAGAAAGAGAAGCAGCTAGATAAAGAAATTAGTGTACATCCCTTTTCCAGTGTGGCCTGGAGGTGAGTATGGGAAGAGAGATGTTCAGGTAAGAGATTCCATGTAACCTGGTAAATACTTTGACCACCATCTGCATTTAGTTATTCTCAACTTTGATATCACTTTGACTGAAACTATCTAGAGCTGGTTGAGATCAGAAAAAGTCCTTGTGTCAGTTTCTGCAGATTTTGCAGCAGTCTGTAACTTTCTGGAAAAGCAATTGTTGCACTTGAACAAGGGCTTCACCACTGTCATCTTGCAGTGTGAGTTAATGGGAGTTCATCCATTAAGGGGTCTGATAGTTGTTTGGCAATAGCTGTGCAAAAATTGTTTAACTTTCTCTTTTATTCTGTTGGAGTCTATATTTTCTTTTTGCTGTGGTGCACTCTGGTCAGGAGTTCCTTTCAGCCCAAAGTCTACCAAGCTTTCCCAGGCAAAGGACACCATAGGCCATTTCTGCTGAGCTGCTGCTGTGTTCAAGTTCTCAGAATATTTTCCTGCACAGACTCTGTGTCAAACCCCAAGTTGGACAGCTGATTGAAAAATTTATTTATTTTTTTTAGTATATCTTTGTAGCAACTCCACAAAGATAACACTTCGCTATTGATCTTTGTTTTGTATTGCAGGTCAGTCTGTTGGAGGAGCCTTCACGAGTGCAAAATCAGCAATGTCATCGTGGTTTTCCACTTTCACACACTCAACCCAAAGCCTTGGGGACTAAACGCTGGTTTGGCAGAATGCTGCTGACTGTTTCAGGTGCAATCTTTCTCTGAGCTGTAAAAAGACCACTCCAAAATGTAGGAGTGCAGATTACCTGCCCAGGACCAAAATAAGGTATATGTTGCTTGCAAGCAGATGTGGAATATTATTATTCACTTTCCCTAGAAGTACAGAAGAATGGTGAGTGTCACCATGCAGTGGGATGGCATTTGCAGTGTATTGGTTATATTTAAAATGACTACTTCTCTTTAAAACTGAGCCTTTATAAAGACATTAGCAAATGGGGCTTGTTGCAAGCCAAATGTGTTTGACTTTAGATTTGTACATTTTCTTGGATGTTGAAGATATTTATGTAAAGTAGTTCTATTTTTCAATCCAGATAGCCAAATGTTTGTGAATTCTTGTTAGAAATGAGCAAATATAAATAATAATTCTTCTTTTAGGTTGGATTTAGAGAATCTCTGCAACCCTTAAAGGGTGGAACTTTCACACTTTTACCTGCAAATTAAAATCAACAAGGTGCAGAGTAAGACTGTGGCTGACAAGAGTTTTTTTTCCCTCTATTCCCTGTATCCATGTAGAGTTGTTTGAATTAATCTATCTCTAGCTCTCTTTGTGTCTTCAAATCTGTGTAACAGTTGCAAAATCAGTAGTTTTTTTCATGTTATGCAGTAGGCCTTCATACCTTTGGCTATGTTTTGGCTGAGTTTTTCCCCAGGACATGAATGGGATTCCAGTTGGAGAGATCTCTTCAGGGAAAGAATTACAAAGCATTTCTCCCAAGCTGGGATTGGATCATTTTGTAAGTTAGGATGCCATTACAACATTAATGTAGTTGCATATTTTCCCCAGGACATGAATGGGATTCCAGTTGGAGAGATCTCTTCAGGGAAAGAATTACAAAGCATTTCTCCCAAGCTGGGATTGGATCATAGATAGTTTTGTAAGGTAGGATGCCATTACAACATCAATGTAGTTGCATACGTATGAATATGAAGTATTAAACCCACCCAAAACTAGCACAGTAGCAAACTCTGTGAGGATTTTGTTCGGTTTTTTTTTCCCCCAGTAAAGTTATGAGGACTCTTCCAAATGAAAATCAGCTATGTGGATTTTCTGTGTCGACTCAGGGAATGTGCTGTTTGGATAATTCCTTTTTTCATAAGGAAAGTAACACTAGAATTGAGTGTAACTAAAACAGCTCAGTTAGCATCCTTGTGTGGAGAAATATAATAGTTTATTTGAAAAGATATGGCATAATGCTGTATTTCCTATATAACATGCATGTGGTGGTTTCTGTATGCAAGCATATTGCACTTCCTACATTTCTTGATTCCAAGGGAAATTATTTTCTTTTTTCCTGCAATGTGTGTGCCTCTAGATGCCTTCTGACATCCCCACATGTTGCTCTTAACATTTTCTATATTACATTATCCAGTGTTCCAATTTTTCTGTACCAAAAGGCTCTTAGTTTATTGCCTCATCAGATCTGTCAGCATTTTGCCATGTTCTTTTCTGGGGCCAAGATTTGTAGTCATGGTTATATTTCCTGTTCCTCAAATAAAATGCAGCACCTGCACAACAGATAAACAAGAAGGCTCAAATGTTTTTAGGAAATTATGTTTTAATTCCTTCTATGCATTTGTAAAGTTAATAGAAAAGCCACACTTCCATCACATTGTCACTGTCCAGCAGCTTGGTTGTCAGTTTTTTTGCTTCAGTGATTTGAAAAGATGGGATCTGATTTAAAGCCTTCTTTAATTTTTTTTTCCAGGACAGACTAGATAGAATGACTGTGGAAAACCTAAAGGCAAACAGCCAGTTTGAGTAGTTTGATTTGAGAAGGGCAAAAAAGGCCCCTAAACTCTACTAATTTATTGCTTCTGACACACAAGTAAGATGTATTTATCAAACTGCAGCTATTGCTCCTGGTCTCTGTGTGTCTTTGTATCTCTCATCAAACTTCTGATGCTCTTTTCTATTTTATTCCACTACTCTGTAATAGACATTTTTATCTTTTTAAAGACTAGGTATTATTTATATGCAGTGAATTAAGACTAGAGCTGTTTATTCATGGTGTGTCTAGAGCTTTCTGAATCAGCATGCAGATAAGAAAATAACCCAAAACAAACACTTGCTTTTGTGAAATGACTAACATATTATCTGCACTCTGGGATTTAAGTGGTCACAGTCCATGTTCTAATGAAGACTGAAGAAAGGTACATAAAGGATTTAATCACCTATAAAATTAACTCCAGCAACTTAAGGCATACCTAGGTAGGTTTAGGCTTAGGAGCTCACAATGGTGAGTTCCAGAAGCCAGGCAAGTGGTTGGTATTTATGTGTACAAGCTGTAGAAGCAGGACCTGCAAGGATCCCTTTTCAATATCCTTGTCTTTGTTACCTCCTCACCTGAGTTTTCTCTGTTGAATTTTCAAATCCTCCAAATTTATATAGCAAATTTATTAGCTCTCTGCATTCCCCTTATTCCCACAGGTTCCCTCGCTGGGCTTAGGAGTATTAGAAAGCTGACCTTTGTTTGTTTTCTGGTGGATTAATTGAGGAAAGACAGAAGGAGGTGCCCTCATTGGCTGCTTGTTGCTTTGTAACATGGTTCTGTTGTGATACTTCACAATTTTTCTCTTATGGGCAAGAAGACCAGACAGATCTTTCTCTGCAGCCTTTTTCTCACTGTCCCAGCTGTCTTTGTTGTGGAACCAAACATACAACCTGATTAAGAGTATTTTCATTTCCTTATAAATGACAGAATAAAAAACTTTTCAGTCTTTTTAAGAACTGACACCCTGCTAGCAAGTTGGACTTGGATTTAAACTCAGATTTCAAAAGTGATTAAGACTCAGTGAGTGGGTGGAGATGAAGTGATCTTCATAATTAGTTGTCTTCATTAACATCTACGTTTGCTTTCCAGCATTTGCTTAAGCTTACTTTTGGGCTGTAGGAAGGCATGCAGCCACTGCGGTTCATCTAAGCTCATGTAGTTCTCTTCTTAACTTAGTGCTTGTAACCTCTTTAGTTAAATCCAATGCAAATGCTAGTTATTTTCCTCTCCTCTGCTTTAATATTTCCAGTGCAACCCTTACTAATTATTCAGAAAGGTTTAGGCAGTCGACTTCCATTTCAAAAGGCCTGACATCTATTTCTGCACTGTAAGGAACAAAGGGTCCTCAGTGAATTGGTGATAGTGCCTCTAATCAGTCAGCTGTGAAGGTATTGTTACGGCTCTGTCGTGATTTGATGGTGCAAAGGTATTTCTGGCTGTCAGCATGCAGCACACACTGGCTTGCAGGTAACACAATAGCACACCTCTCAGCTTTCTCTCATCACAGGCAACAACCTCAGCTTTTTGTATGTGCCAGCATTTGAGAAACTGCCTGGTGAGCAGAGAAATGAGATGTAAGTCATCCAAACCCCACAAGACCTAAGTGTTGCTGACCTTTTATTTCATTTGACTGAAGTGTTCAGCATCTTTCATCAGTCATTTTCATGTCATAACCTTAATTCCTGTACACATCTCACACCAGTTTCCCAAAATGCCACAATTTAATTAGAATTCTTAGGTCAGTGTTCTGGTACATTGCACTTGTTTGACTTTGTACTTCTGTTTTAAGCACCTTTGTAATTAAATATAATATTTTGCCTAAACAAGCTTCTGATTTCCATACAAATTATTACGAAGCAGAGAAACTAATGTGGCAGTATTTAATTGTAAAAGTGAAGGTGTGAATGCAGTTTTTAAACATAGGAGCTACTGCTTGATAATTGAACATACAAGTAATGTATTTGATTTTTCCTGTGCTGCTTGAAAAATAAAATACATCCAGCCTGTTTAAAGTTCCATCTGCTCAGAAAGCTGTATTATTTTAATAAATTAATTCCACCAGAAGACACTTGCAGGCATCTGGTTTTGATATTGGTAGCTGCTTGTAATTCACTGGCAGTGTTTTTGAAATTTGTCTTCCATTTAAACATTATGGATGCTGCTTTTTGCAAATTTAGGACAAATGGATCCTCTAGAGTGACTTTTTATTCCCTGTGGGGTGCTGCTTCTTGTGGATTGATTGAAGTCCTCAGGAGGGCACAGACCTCTCTTATATCAGTAAGAATTTCAAGTACAACTAAAATTTTGGTGTTGATTTAGCTTCAAAGTAACTTGTAGTTTCTGTGGATTGTGACATCTGGTCAAAATCAAGATGCTGTGTAAATCAATTGCTGCACATCCAGTTCTCTGCCATAGGGAGCTGTTTTAAAACTTCAGAACTTCTACTGCAGCTGTCACTGTACCTGTCTGAGAACAATTTGGTAAATGGGTTTTCCAGAAGGAGGAAACTGACTGCCTTGGGTAACGTTTAGATGTGAGTTAGACAAAGGTTATGTCTGGAGAATGGTTGCAATTCCCTAAAATTTGTTAAGGGTTTTCCGACAGTGTGCAAGTAGTTGTGCAAATACACTGAAAGATAAATTTACATTGTGCTTTTTATGCACTGCAATTTCACTTTCTTGCAGGTATTTGGTTTTCATTAAAAAGGGCAACATGGAGATTATTCATTAAAGGGAGAAACACTACATTATTGTATTATGATTAAAGATGTATGAAAAATTGCTTCCTGGTGTTTTGAGTCTTTAATGCTGTATTAGAGAAGGGACTGACTTAAAGCAGGCACAGGGCTTTACTTCTGTCATGTTCTGGTCTTGACCCCATTCTTTAACAAACATCAGAAGCAGTGTTTGGATTCATAAAAAACAGGGAAATGGATCACTTCTGTCAGTTAATAGTGACCCTTACTCAGATTACCTTATTCCCTGCAAATTGACAGAATGTGTGCATAACATCTGTACACAGGTGGCTGAATCTGTTGGGATGGAACTTGGAACTCTGGCTGTCTTGAGTCAAAATTCTTGAATCATACATTGCTCCTCTTGTAATAATACTTCAAAATCAACTGATCAAGTAAAGTGTTTTTGTGGTTTTTTTTTTTTTTTTGCTTCCAACGTGAATTTATTGGCTAATATTGATGAAAGCATAATTACTGTTTGCCTTAGTAGTAGCAGAGAATGCCTACAAAACCTTCTCTTTTTTTTTTTTTTTTGTGAATCCAAATAACCAGTAATGTGGCACTGCTTTCTGGATCAGGTGAGCATAATCAAGCAAGAATGTTTAGACTGAGGGAAGAACAGTTCTTTGAAGTGAAGGCAGATGTACAGCTGTCATCTTGTCTTAAAAACAATATGGGATATAACATCACTTGCATACTGTATGAAATAGATGGAAAATACTGGAGAAGGGAATTCAGTTGATCTCTCATGTCTGAAGAAATGCACACAGAAGTATAGTGGAGAATTCAAAAGTCCAGGCATACCAGAAAGTGGCAAAAAATAACACTGAGCTTAACATACTGCCTGATATGACCTGTGGTTACTGACTTTGCTGCTGTGAAAAATTTGTGTGTATATGGATTTCGCCATGTGCCAAAGAGCTGGCTGAAGCATATGTCAGCTCTTAAATTTTGGAAATTGCTTCATGTTTTTTTTCTCTTCAGATACCTCCTCTGGGTTTATAGGCTTTGTAAGAACTCTGCCTTGCTGAACTGTACTCTTGAGAAATGTTGTAGGAAGGAGGGTATTTAAATACTTCTGAAAGTGGAACTAAACAGAACTTTGTATGGCTAATGTTAAGTATGAAGTGGAAAGAAACTGGTTTTAAGAGTGAGCCTGGTTCAGAGTCTGCCTAAATTATAGTTCCTTTCATGTAGGAATTCAGAGCAAAAAACAGAAAACAACTGGAAGGTAGCTGGAAATGGGAAACACAGGAGGCAAAACACTCTCCTGACTAATAAGTTCAGTAGTTTGCAGGTTTGTCCACAGGTGTCCCTTAGCCTGCAGTGCAATGTGGCAGGTACTTGTGCATCTTAACAGAGCCACTGAGAAGTGAAATGAGAAATACTGTGAAAAACAGTAGTGCTTTAAATCTTGAAATAATCTCTAAAATGTTATCAAATTATTTTCCCCCCAAATTTAACTACCTCTCTGAGCCTGACCTCTGCAAAGCTTGGCACAATTCAATGTCCCAGATGTGAGTGATCCTTTACAACAAAAATTAAACTTGCAATTATGTGTTTGAACAACTGCAAAAAAATATTGAATGCATCAAAAATTAGCAGAGGCCAGATCACTTCTTTTATTACTTTAGGTAAGGGAAACTGAAACCATGTAGGACTGACTTAAATCAGCTTTACCAGAAAAGAGGTAAACTTTGCGAATATAGCAGAGCTTGAAGACATGAGTTGATGAGATGTAAATCCACTTCAAAGCCGAGTACATGTTGAATAGGCTAAGACTAGGCTGAAGCTTTATAGTAAGACACTAGTTAGATCTCTGTCGAGGCTTTAATCATATTTGCTCCATTTATGACATGAGAACTGCATTTTTTTCAGCTGTTGTCTTTGTTCCTGCAAAAGTCTTTCTCTAATTCTACCACTAGTGACCACTTCCAGGCAGATGACAATGCTTTGGCTGCACATAATTCCTTCTTGAATTATGCAAGGTGAGAATTTAGACTCGAGAATAGCATTTGCCAGCTGTTTTTCTTTGGGGATGAATACTTGCTCAGAAACCAGTTGAGTAAGTGAACTACTAATATGTCTTTAGCAGTCACTAGAGAACTCTTCACCACTTGGCTAGTCTTGTCTTTAAGTGGCATATTATTAATAGCAAATACATTTTACATAAGGTACTATATAGTCTTGGGCCCCATAAAAAACAAAACATACAAGTAATGTACAGAAAAAAATTATAAAAGATGCAGATGAGCAGGAAGTCATGCAGACTGTCTGTATTTCAAAAGATGTTCCTAAATGGATAAAACCAAGTTCTTCCAGGTTCTTTGAGGCAGTTGTGACTTAGAGCCACTGCAATTTAGTATTTCCTATTTAGTATTTCCTATTTTCTGTTCAAATACACCCTTTTTTTTTGTTTGTTTTCCTCCAGTAAGAAACTACACATATTATTTTAAACTCAAGATGAATATTCTCAGTAGCAGAATGAGCCCACTTTGCCCCTTCACTAGCTATAGATCATCTGCAGTTAAACCAACAAAGCCTTGTCCTAAAGCCTAATGCAGCCTGATAACAGTAGGGTGAAGAGAGAAGGAGCCACAGAACTGAGCAGCCCATGCAGGCTGGAGTTACTTGGATAGAGTTCATGTTTTCGCCTGAGGTCTGTGATTCTCCAAATTGCATTATAAAGGAGTATCTGTGTCCTTCTTTTTATGGATGCTCCCTTGCACAGGCTTGTAACATGAAAGCAATATAAACAGACCTATCAGCAGGAGCTCCTGAGTCATCTCACACCTCTTATCTAAAATATGTAGGTGTTAAAAAAAAAAGTTTATGTAATGGTAAATGCAAACATGTTATGTCACCTTCATTAAAAAAAAATATTGGTAGCTTGCCATTGTTACTCTGAGTCCCATAAATCCTCACATGGCACAAAATACCAAAGTATCTGGGAGAGTTTCATATAAGGCACCTTTCTTATCTAAAGCCCCTTTTCTAGTCAAAACCTTTAATAATTGTACAAGACAAAACTTTGTAAGGCCCCTTGAGACCTAACCCAAACAACACATAGGTGTTGTCTTTATTGAAGGCTGCAGTTTTATCTACTGCAATAAGAAACAATTAAGGAAAAGCCAGTGACAGTCTGGACAATGGAGTAAATAAATTTGCTCTTGATTAGTTAAGATTGAAAATAGGTCTGCCATTGTCTCAACTTACAGAAAATGTTCCTCCTTAATGCCTGCTGTTCTTCGCTTTCAGCAAGGCAGAATTTGTACCGTGACCGGAGAAGTGCTGATTTACAAAAATGATAGCAGGGTAGTGTAGTCCTGTGTAATCCTGTAATGAAGTTTTACTTCAATACCTAATTTCCAGCTTTTGCTGAGTAGTAGTGAGCAGAATCAACTTAACATACTCCTCTCCAGGCTTTTTGCAGCTTAACTATTTCTAGCTGCCTTCAATAAGCTACTCGCTACAAGTGTGCATGTGGTGGGAGGGTGGCACAGCTCTATTTATTTCAGCCAAAAAGCACACTCAGGCAATTGGATTCAGTCTTTTTTAATAAATTAATGTCATTCAAAATACAGTGCCAGAACATGATGCAGCTGAACATGCTAGTAAGGTTTGTCATGAAGCACCTGTGTTCATGTTAGGTTGGCGGCACCCCGCTACTGCTAGTGGTTCCTGGGATTAATGCCAGAGCAGCACTAGGCATCTGCTCTCCTGCACACACAGCACAGGATATTCCTGAAGTTTGCTTCCCCCCCCAAAGTAAAAAACCTGACAGCTAAGGGATATCTATACACAATCACACTACAGTAATGCTTGTTATTAAATTAACAGAAAATAAAGACCTGGTTAATCCACACTAAAACTTCGTTTTACAATGGAAAAATACATCAGCAGCAGGAAGTAATATACATGAGCCAATGTTACTGTAATACAGAATGTGGAGGCATTTACTGATTAAAGCCCCACATAGACCCGCACTATGAGGGCTGGCAATTCCTATTGCAAGCCCAGCAACTTAAGTCCACACCTGGTAATCTACCAGCTGCTTGGAAGACCTGTATTCTAAATAGACAGGTATAAGTTAGTGAAAATAGAATACATGCACCTCATCATACAGCTTGACTGAACCTGCAGTCAGTTTGCCCAGCATGTTACCATACAATGGAAGATCTACCCTTCCTACCACAGGTGTAGATCCATGGGATTTGTTTCTTTTTCTTTTAATGGCATTACTATACCAACATAGATATTAGTATTTAGTAAGTGCAGCACAGTCCTTTAATTAGGCCACACTGACAATTATATAACTAGCACTTAAGTAGAATATCCAGAAGTAGTTAAAATGTAACTGGAAGATACTTTCAAAAGAGTTGTGACATCATCCTAGAAACAATAACTACTTTTTTTCTTAAGCTAATTTTCCTGAACTGAGACTTTATAGAACTAGAATTAATTCTTTAGACAAGTCAGATGCTCAAGCTCATGATATACATATATTTTTCTCAATTATCTGATAATAGTATTTGAGATTATGGAAGCATATCTGCTCATTTCACTAATTCATACTGAATGGCGGCAGGTGTTAGGTAGGGCATAAAAATACAATTCATGAAAGACAGCTCTGAGATTTCTGTCCCCAGAGCTGTTCTTTCACAGCCATTTATTTCATTTATTATTTTATAACTGAGCACAGACTCAGTTGTGCAGTCTCATTTGGGAGCTATACAGGTGGTAAAGTAACCATCTCCCCATCCAGCTCAAATTCATCAGCTCCGTCTGGTGAGAAGAGATACGTTGGAGGTTTCCACGGGGACTCTTCAAGGCAAGAGGGATACAGCTTTCCTACAGTACACCGGAAGTCTTTCCCCAAGTCCCACAGCACGCGTTCCGATATGTGCTGCTTCAGGAACCAGCGGTCGAGTTCCAGGTCATACTGATAGGTGGCATACTTGGCTCTCTCGTTCATGTGGGTCTCCCGTATAAAGACACACAAGGAATTGGAGATGACAACGGCCCTGACGCACGGGTCGGAATAGCGCTTGGCAGGGATGTTGGCTGCCATCCTCCATTCGTTTTTATTCACGTCGTAGATCTCCACTGTTACGGAAGACCCATCCACAGTACTGCTGGGGAGCCTTATCCCAGAATTGCTGGCAATGTGCAGTCCTCCGATATAGAATATCTTATCACCGAAAGCGGCAGCTGAGGCGAAACATCTGCTCGTTTGTCGCATCGCCATCTCCACCCAGGCGTCCGAGCGGGGGAAGTAGCAGTACATCAAGTTGTGTGCCATGACGTAGATGCAGTTGTGAACCGCCACAGCCGTGCTCCACTGCCACGCGCAGGGCAGGGGGCTGACCATGGTCCACTCGTCCTTCTCGGTGTCGTACCTCTCCACAGTCCTCCTGTTGAGCTCCCCGCCGACGCTGTCCCCCCCGATCGCATAGATGTATCCTTCACAGCACACCAGGGACGGCTTGATGCGTACAAAGAGCATCGGCGTCTTGGGGAACCAAGTGTTCTGCTGCGCATCAAACCAGTAAAAGCAATTCACAGTTCTGAAGGCAGCCTGGAGTTTGCTGCTTTTACTGTGATTGGTTTTTGTGTTCTTCAGAGGAACCTGCCCACCTGCTATATAGATGTCATTATCGGGAGTTACCAGCGTCCCAACCTTATGCAAGTCAGCGGGAGGGTTGCAGAGTTTGTAAACTTTCTCTGCCTGTGGGCTGTAACAGACAGAAGAGTAAAGACTACCAGGGTTTTCAGCAGCAGCTTCAATGAATATCATCATCTCCTCTTTTGTCATACCAAGTCTGGGCTTGAAAAATTTGGGCATCGATTTGTACAGTCCTTGCACCACCACTGATTTATCATTAGGTGGCAAGCCTTGAAACCAGGCTCTCTGTGTTACTTCTGAAAGTGCATCGATCCGGATTTGGCTAAGAACAGAGGACAAATACTGCGAGCGTGATTCCGTGTTGTACCCCAGCCATAACATAGCAGCCTCACGCACTGTCTCCTCCTTTTCCACATTTAAATTGTCACTGCTTAAAATATCTATCAGTAGATCATGTGACAGTTGCATGAAAGCCTCCTGGTGGTACACAGCTGTGAACTTGTGCTCCACCATTCTTTTAGCACTCTGTTTTAACTCTTCACAGCTGAAGAGATCAGCAAAACTTAATAGACGCACACAATTTTCTGCATTAATTTTTTTGATTAAGTATTCTCTACATCGTTGTAACACATCATCTACCTGTAATGCAAAGAAACACATGAAGTATTACACATACAGTCTATGCTTTCATGTAGCACCAGAACATAAAGTACCTGCATCTGGTGTTGAACAACACAGTTCAGGCATGGAATACTATACATACAAAAAAACAGCAGTGACTCATACAGACCAAGTACACAGCGTGATTATGTCTGCTGGCAAAACTAATTTTCTAAATGTTAGAAGCACACTGGTTTACTTCCAGCCTTCCAAAGGGACTGTCGTGCAAGGAGGGATAGCTACATGAAGCAACTTTGGCAAGCAACTGCTGTCTAAACAGAACAAACAGAGCAAAAGTGTCTTGAAATGACTAAAGAGGAAAGATCTTTTAACAAGATAAAGAATAAAGTGGTTCAGAGATTAGGAGCTGTTATTTCCTCCTCTAAACATTCCCACCTGTAAGAAGCAGGCAGTTTCATAGAGCTGCTCTACGGTGCTGTCGCTTATTGCCAGGTTACCCGTGTATGCGTAAGTGATGATGATCTGCAGAGTGGCTGCGTCCACATTCCGCAGGTGTACGTGTGTCTGTTTGCTCTCGCTCAGCCCGCTCATGAACATTGCTCTGAGGAGAAACACATATTAAGACAAGGATCAGCAGTGAGTAATCTTAAACAGTCACCTGTAAGCCTTTGGTGATTACACTCCTAAAGGTGAACAGTCCTTCTGCAGGCCTGTTCAAAGGTGTTTAGGATTTACCTTAGGCGGACATTGCTATTTACAATAAAACATTTGGACAGAATATTGAAAGAGTAATGTCAGTGCCTTTGCAGAAATACTTTATATTCATGCAAACCCTTCTGTGTTAATCAATAGACAGTGCTAATGATTTTGGAGTTTTAATGACATGATTTAAATATTTTCTATGATAGGTGATAAGAGGGAAGAAACATCCTCCAAAAACACTGTTGAAACATACACAGCTAGATTTCAGATTCTAAAACGAAACAGATTTATGTAATGGACTCAGCTAAATCATATCAAGAAGCATGCTCCTCTGGGAGGAGAAGAAATGGAGCAAGGACTAGCACTCTATGAATTATTTCTTATATACCATTCATCATAACATGCAGTAAACTTCAAACTTGCAGGCAAAAATCAATAACAGAAAAACCTATCAGATCTAATCTGGGAAAAAAAGAGCGAGTATTTCCATTACATCTTCCTGAAGAAGATTAGAAAGGCAATTTAAATTGTTTCTTTAATGCTTCACACACCTCTTGCCCATCCTGGTATTTTAATTGTAGCACAGTTAAGAACTAACTGCAGTCTGGTACTATAAGCCATGTACTTGTCAATTTTCTTAAAACAGGGGACATTAGTTTCAAGAACTTTATATTGATTCAGGTTTGATATTTATGGTTGTGCTGAAATTCAGTTCAAGGCTCTTTATATTTATTTGGGCTTTTTATTTTTTTAGGAAACCGGGCATGAGAGAAGTTAGAAGGGACAGTGAGTGCACCTTTTAGTCCTGCTTCTGAGTGCAGAGGTGAAGGGGACATGGAGATACACTCCCTAAGCAAAGCCATTCCAGAAAGCATCTGATACAAAAGACATTTTCCCATCCCTATTTTTCTGTCTTCTTCTAAGCTTCTTAACTCAGGGCAACTTGCATTTTAGGAGGGATCACTGACTAACTGAGTATCAACTTGCTGTGCAGCTATTTAAAGATAAGCAATAAAGTACAAGAGGGTACAGAGACTCCTCAGAAAGGAAGAGAGGGAGCTGTTGGAGGCTCTGGCTCTTGCTCACACACTGCTGAGCTGTGTGCTGGAGCAGGGCTGCACATCATTCAGACACAAAGATGGAAGGTAAGCTGGCTGCAATCACACACAATGGCTGGATCACACAGCAAGATGCTTTGCTTTTCTTCCCCCTCCTTCAGGGCTATCAATTTTTCATAATAAAGCTAAATTTAGGAAGCTGAGCATCTTTTTGTAAACCAAAGTAGAGAAGAAAAGCAGAACATGACAAAACCACAAGTTTGATACTTCTTTTAACCAGTGCCAAAACCTCATTCCATAAATAATAAACAAACACATATGAATAAGAGATTTGACTGCACATTCTGATGCAGCACACTGGGTGGACTCATGACAGCTTTCCAACCTTATGATTAACCACCCACATTAAATCTGGCTACATCTTCAGTGGCTGTTATTTTACAAATTGTTGGAACTATGTCATCTGCACAGGGCCAATGGTAATAATTATTATCTAGTGATCACACAATACTTGTTGCTAAAAGTTGGACCAGATTCATCTGAGATGAAAAAATAAACAAAAAAGCCAGAAGGGACAAAATTTTTCTGTAAAAGTAATAAATTAATCCTTCCACAGTTTTCTACAAGAAAGGAGACAGTACAGAAAACATCTTAAATGTGTTCTGTATAGTGAGCTGGTCTCAGGAAAAGCAGATTTGTAAACTTTCCAGTGATTGAACAGGAAAGAAAAGTATAATCCCTCCACAATGCATCAGGAAGGTAGAACATGCGTGGATGTCACTCAGACTAGTTTCAAGCTTCAAAATTCCTTCCAGACAGGCAGATTAATTATATTATGTTGCCAACAAAAATGATTAATCACTGCAGAAAACTCACAGTGCCTCATCATCCAGGTCTTACTATGAAGGCATTTGCAAAAAGTGGTAGCACTTAACATATCTTATTAATAGAAATGTTTTCAAAGTCCAAAACCAGGACATTTGGAAAACAAGAGCTACTGAACTAAAAATTTCAACAGTATCTTGGGGGGGACCATGAAACAAAAAAAAGAACCCAAACCACACACACTTGCATTGCCACAACACTCAAGGAAGGGAAGAGTTTCCAGCTTTGCTGAGCAGGGAAAACCAGATGATTCAGAAAAGAAAGCCATGAACTTACACAGCAATCCCTACTTTTAGCAGATGGTTCTACTAAGAAACTGTAGTTAAACATGACAATAGAATTCCTGCAGCCAAGTCTCAATAATCCCTTGTTATCCTACCTTGGCAAATAAAAACAGATTAAGTATTTTAAAGATTCAGTGTAAGAACAAGAAATTTACTAATTTTCAGACTACTCATTTAACTCCCTAAAGAAAATGAGCCATCACAAGTGTGATTTTTTTATTCCCCACAGTCATCGTAGGAACTACAATAAATATCTAGAATAAGTCCCAGGAAGCCAGAAATTTTACTTTGTGTTGGAAAGTAAGGATATTTATGTTTTGTACATAAGTTACTGACCTTTAAGTCTCTCTAAGACTTTGTCAATCAATTACTATTACACTCAAAACCAGGTACCACAGATTTTATAGCATTTGAATACTTACCTGAAATATGAGCTGCACGTTGCAAGAACCATCTTATGGCAGGGAAATTCAGTGCCCTCAACAATCAACACTATGTCAGTTAGCAACTGCTGTTCATAAAAGAATTTTAACTGCTCCAGCAAGGATACAGCATACTCTGTATTTATCTGCCTCTCGTCCTGGGTAGACATGACTGTATTCCATTAATAGTTCCAGGACCAGAGAGAAAAGTCAAGATCTCTTCACCAAAGAAAGGTCAGCTGAGTGTTTCTGAAGTAGCCAGGAAAGAAATGGCAGGAGGTCTGTAGCCTTCAGAAGTGATACTGATAAAAAGGGCAGTGTTATCTTGAACTGCTGAATCAATGTTTCAGACTTTGACCTCCTATTAGGTCATCATGCTGTGACTTGGTGTCCCAGTCTGTTCAGAGACTTTCAAGAGTGTCTGCAGAGCTCCCGTTGAGATCTATGACGCAGCAACTGAACGAACAAAAGTGAAGTCTGAGGTAGATTTTGTGGTAGCATCTCGTGATCAGTGGCTGCACTTGACTGACTGAAAGCAGGAAAATAAAATTAATTTACATATTAGCACATTGTGGAAAATCTTTCTTAGTTACCTCTTAGAAGTAATTGTCTAATAAGCATTTCTAAATTAGTACTTCATCACTTGCAATAAAACCCTTCTAAGAAAAAAATTTAAACAACAAAGGTATCGAAGAGAAATGAAAAGCGGAGTTCGTACATTAATTCTCATATGACCTAGACTCACAAAGTAAAATTATTTATTTTGTCAATACAGCTACTAAGGCTGGGGAGTTAAAACAAGGTTCAGTAAGACTGCATTCCTCCTCAAAGAATTACCCAGATTTCCCACTGAGTACACCTGTGAATTTCATTCAACCATTGATAAGACCGCCACTTTTTTCCCCATTTCTACATGAAATAGTAAGTTTTTCTGCTTCTTTGTTTTTGTCTACTGAAAGCTTATCAGTACCAGGCCAGTAATTTTCACATTCCATCATTTTCCAGCTAAACTCTCAACATCATTATCAGCCTGTTTATTTCATCTTTGGCCTTCTAGTCGAGATGAAGCAGAACTAGCACTAAGGATTAAAAAAACCCCAAAAACAAACAAACAAAAAAACCCCTAAAAGTCTGTATTTCCAATGCATATTAAATTAATCTGCTCCAGGCAAATATATTAATATTCCACATTCCCTCATTTTTCCTTCTGAGTAATTTCCATACAGCCAGGTAAGCTTCACTGCTGCAGAGAGGAGAAAAGAAAAACAAGGAAATAATAGGAGCAACGGGATGCTGGAATAGCAAGGCTCAAAACACCTACAGTGGTTGCCAAGGTTTATTATCTTGTTTGGACATTTCTATTCTTAAAAATGGGGTCAGGTTTTATTTCATCTTCCACTTGAACACAAAAACCTAATTAAGAATGGGATGGTTGTGACAGTAGAATTACCATCATAATGGACACTGGAGTATCACAGCTATCAAAAACACCTACAGTGGTTGCCAAGGTTTATTATCTTGTTTGGACATTTCTATTCTTAAAAATGGGGTCAGGTTTTATTTCATCTTCCACTTGAACACAAAAACCTAATTAAGAATGGGATAGTTGTGACAGTAAATTACCATCATAATGGACACCGGAGTATCACAGCTATCGAATGCTTCCAGATTTATTTAATCTTGCATCTTCTGCATTCCAAAACTGAGGAATAACCAGGACATGTTTGTCTTGTGTCTAAGATATCACTATCACTACAATTCACAATGAACAGAGAATGCAGAAACAACTTGTGTGAAATGACATTCCTTAAATGCCAAACAAAACCATCAGATTTAGTGCAAGACCAAGACAGTAGAAATACCTGCAAGCTACACCAAAGATCTACTGTTTCAACACAGCCCTGCCTGTAATACAACTCAGAAACAGCTGTCTTTCAACATTCACTCACTTGAAACAGATATGCTTAATTAATGCCACTTTAATTACTACTAATTTAGTGTCCCTGATCTTTTTTCTTTTTCAGTGATAAATATACACAAACAAGAATCTCAAACTCTTGGTTTTCCCTAGTTTCTTAACTGGAAAACAGTCCAGCTAGTCAAACCCAACGCTCACTGTTGAGGTGAAGGCAGTTAATTAAGGAACACAGAAAAGGCTTTGATACTTGGGGGAAGGAGTAGATATTACTGTGTGCTACAATAACAGACACTAGCACAAATCTTGACTGAAGACCTCCTAGTTTCAGGTAACCTCTGAAGTCACTAAACCATAAATACATTGAGGGTATAGAGATACTGCTCCATCTAAAGTATGACCTTCTGCCTCAGGTCACAGCTTCTTTCCACCAAGACAGTGTGCATCTCATCTCTGCACTACTGCCCACCCTCCTGGTACTCTGGGAACAGCTCACCATGCAACCCAATCCATTGACAGATTTTGCACTGAACTTTAAAGAGAGACACACAGACTCCCTACATGTGTTAGGCCCACAGAAATAAATAGCTTGTGGCTCTGCTGGTATCCCAAGTCTCTCTACAGCATTGTTTTTCCTGGCTTAGGAGTAAAGTTTCAAGAACAATACAAGCTGGTGGATTAAGCTCTGTTTGGGCAGAGCATCAGTAACACAAAGCTTTAGCAAAAGAACTCGTTGATACCATAACTTCCCTTTCTGATGTAACTGTAAAGAATATATATATATATATTTTTTTTTTTAATATAAACAGGAAAAAAAAAGAAAACTAATATGCACTGGTTCAGTCATTAGGTACCAGAACAAGTCAAGGATGCCATGGAGAAATTGATATACACCTGCTAGTAAGATTAAAGACATTTTTGGCAGAAAGCTGCTGACAGTCAATAACTGAAAAAGCAGACCTGTTCAGCAGAACACAAGTTGAAACTGTGAAATTAATTGCTATAAATAACTGGAACATTTGAGTACGACCCTCAGTAGCAGAAAAGATTGAGGAGATGACAGGAATCCTGTTGCAGAACATTTATGCGATGTGGATCACCTTTGAACCATCCATTTACAAAGCTGGAGCCTTTGGTTTACAGAAAACCATCTGTCGTGTACTCAGGAAAGTGCACATGGTAGGAACATGCTACATACACGATTCCTGTTTTCCACATCCATACTGTGTTTTGCTGCCAACAATAACCATTTGCTAAAGAACAAAGTTTTGTATTTGTCACAAAGTCAGGACTCACATCCCGTTCCCTTGTAATGGAAATAAATACATCAAGGATCTCTGAATTACTGGTCCAAAATTGTCATAATTTATATTGCCATTTGCCCAAGAGAATTGAATCTGTTGAAAACATTAGGATAAGTGGTAGTAACATCATTTAGTACCTGGAAAATAATCCAAGATTACCTATCTCTCTCACACCTCTTTGGAAAGTTCAAGACAATTTTAGAGGAGATACTCTCCTCACTTTGAGGCCAAAAAACTGAGGCACTGAAATAAAAAGCAGCTTGTCCAAAGCCATGTACTTCCGAAGGAGGAAACCAAGAGGTGTAGCTAGTCTAAACCCAACACCTCTCTCATTGCGCTGTGCCTGGTTGGCATACAGTCATTGGATCTGAGATAAATGAAAAACTGGGGACTTGAAAAATGTCTACAGATGCACTACTGTCTGCTGGAGTCCCAGTAACTATGCAGCAGTGGACATTTCTCATGTACGGATTAAAAGATCTATGGCCAAAGTTAGCTTTATATCCTGAACTGAAATTTTGATAGAATAAAAAAGATCCCTGAATACAAGATCTAGGAATGAGACTTTCCCTTTCAACGATGTCACTGAAGTGACCATTTTGTTCTGGGTTGTTTCTTGGAAGCCAGCTATCCAAAACAGGACTGGCAGGTAGCTGCTGGAAGGCCACAGGGTGCTGAAACCATGTAATCACTGGGTGATACAAAGTACCTCCCTATCAAGCTGGAGAGCAACATTAAGTAACATGTTGATAAGAGGGTTTGTTTTTAAGTAATTATTCCTTTTTGCTTAAGTAGTTTTAATGAGGTGGCTTGTTAACACTTGTTCATGTACTTCAAATCTGAATGAGACCATTCAGAAAATTAGTCATCAAATGTTAATGAGTTATGGGATAGGCTATTAATTGCCTTCCTTGAATCTGTTTATTTTCTGAGGTCAGGCAAAGATTGATAGAGATACTGCACTACATACGTGGCAGTGGCACTACCCTTCAGTGTGTAACATGGAACAAGTATATTGACTATTTCCAATTTGGTAGAGAAACATATAAAATACATAAATATTCTTCAACTGAACTTATTTTAAAAAATTATTTCTTTTCCACCTAAATTATAAGAAGGAAAAAAGATATACAGGCATCTTTTGTTTGGGGTTTTTTAAAGAGATTCTGATTTCTTCTGAAAATCCCATTAATTAGTCTGCCAGATTAGATGCCTAACTTCCCATAAAATGGTGGGAAATATGTAAAAGATCTATGAAAGTGTCACAGGTTCCCATCTGCATCTTCAGCCATCAAACACCTCTTGAATGCTAACTTCACTAACTCAAAAACAAACTTCATTTTCCATATGCCTGGAAGAAAATTAAAAAAAAACAACAACCCAAACTTATCTCCCTGGACATTCAATTTATTTAATCTAGTTCTAACTAAAAAAAAAAAAAAAAAAAAAAAAAAAAAAAAAAAAAAAAAAACAAACACAAAAACCCAAACAAATAAAAACCAAACTTTAAATACTACTTTTCTGCACTTTTAATCAAAATCCTGTTTCCACCCAAGGGCAGCTTCACACAAATCACAACCATCTGCATCTTCAGCCATCAAACACCTCTTGAATTCTAATTTCACTAACTCAAAAACAAACTTCATTTTCCATATGCCTGGAAGAAAATAAAAAAAACAACAACCCAAACTTATCTCCCTGGACATTCAATTTATTTAATCTAGTTCTAACTAAAAAAAAAAAAAAAACCAAAACAAAAAAAAACCCAACCATAAAAACCCAAACAAATAAAAAACTTTAAATACTACTTTTCTGCACTTTTAATCAAAATCCTGTTTCCACCCAAGGGCAGCTTCACACAAATCACAAGTAAAAACACATCTAAAAGAAGTGAGTCATTCACTATTTTTAACATAATAAAAGGTCAGAATTTAGACCTGAACAACTTAAGCCAAACTACACAAGCCTTGGTGTGTGGAGATAGCAATCCTCTCAGCTAGCAACGCAGTATCCAGCTCAGGCACTTCAACACTTAGTTACTATGAGGGATATTCTGAGTTACAAACCAACCAGTTTCAAACTTAACATACCAGCTAACAGCAAGGGGGAATTCGAGTACTAAAACTGATTACAATCAATTATGCAAATCGACACACCTAGCCAATAGATCTCAAAGACAAGAAAGAAAGAAGAAAAAAGGAGTTGGAAGCTCTAGATTCTTGAGTAATGTATCAAATTTGCATCCTTGGCAGTGAGTAAGAAATAGGTAATTGATGAAGCAGTTCCAGACTTGGAAGTTTTCCTCTCTTCTAAAGCCATCAAAGGTGTCTTTGATAGCACAGTAGACCAGAAAACTGAGGACATCAAGGATATTCTAATAAGGCAGCAATGTGAAATTTCACTAAAAACAAGGAAAGGTTTAATTCTACAATGTTAACTTGAAAATGACTATTCACTTGGAAACTACTACTATTTTCCATGCATATTATGCTTGGGAGGTGAGTTACAACTTTGAGGTAGGTGAGTTTTCTGAAGCTACACAGAAACTAGAGACTAGAAGTGTCAGACTCCATGTTAACAACATGCTTGGTCACAATGCACTCCTGTTTTTCTGCTCCTAAAGGAAGTTATACACTAAAGGAAATACCTGCTCAGGAAGAAAATTAGCATTTATGACATGATAAAACAACTGCTTGAATTGGCAACTGGACTTCTACGCTGAGCACAGGTAGTTTCCATCCCCAAGGGTGTTTCTGTTTTGTGGAAGACTTGACCTGTTCTGGAAAATTAACCTTTGAAAAAAAGTAGGCCATGGATGTCTCCAGTAAGATCTAGCCATGTATCCTATATATATATATATTTTTTTTTTCTCTGAACTATAGAACATTAATGAAGCTAGTGTGTTTTATGTAACAACTTAAATTCCAGTTTAAAAAGTACAGGTAATTTTCTTAAACATTCACTATATGACACTTAACTATAAATTCAAGCATTTCTACATTAAGAAATTAATTAGTCATTAATGTAGCTTAATTAATTGTAAGTTAGTTCCTGAAAGGTTAAGTCTTATAATGGATATCATACTCATGCATATAAAATTTATTTTCAAAGCTCAACAGTCAGTAAACTAAGAAAAAAAAATTTAGGGTTTGCACCAATTCTGGTCTGTTTCATAATCACATGACCAAAACAAAAAAAGCCTGCTTCAGCAAAGAAAAAAACAACAACAACCATCTCTCTAAAATGTGGTAAAAAAATATTAAATAAGCAGTGACATCTTTTCTTCCTCTTTGGACTGTTCCTGAAAGATGCTGCTTACACATCTTTGAATAAAGGGCTCTCTCTACTCGACACACAAAAACAATTTGGAAAAAGGAGTGACACCTATACTCAAATCATGAGACTGCTTGATGTATGCATTTACTATGCAATGTAATTGAATTAAATACTAAATATTACCTATTCCTCCAGATAGATTTCTGAGAAACAGAACTATACTCAGGGTGCATTTTAATAATCTCTGAAACACATCATCTGAACAAAATTCATGTAGCTACAGCCCTAGGAGAGCTCACAACAGCACACAGTCTTTCGGCCCATTATGAGCACAAAGTAGAATATACACGATGTAGAAAAGCCAAGCTGGGGCTTTACAATAAAACCTCTAAAAATGCACATGCTAAGTACAGCACAAATCCGTCTCTAAATCATAATTAAAGTTATTTCAAAAGCAGCAGGTATTTATCCCGTTTCATAGCAGAAATAATGATAAACGCCGGGAAAATTTGACTAACGTCAAAGCGATTCTATCCATCTGTTTATTTAGTCCGGAAAAGCTCACTAAGGATTATGTGACTCTTTAAAGCTACCTAGGGCCACGGAAGCCCACCCCGGACCCACAGCGTACGTATGCACTGCTAGATGGGTCAGCAGGGAAGGCAGGGGCAGCCACCAGGAGCGGCAGTGCCTCCACACCGCTCTGCCCCTCCGAGACTTCCCAGCGCGGGTCCCTCCGAGCGCTGCCAGCACCAACAGCCCGGTTCCACACACCCCGACCTGCTCAGCCCACGGGAGCCCCGGCCCCAGCACGGCCCCTCCCGCCCGCCCATGCTGGACACGGGGCGAGGAAACACATTTCTTCCTCTTCCCGATGCTCAGGTGCGCCGTCCCGTCCCCGCGCAGCCCCGATCCCTTTCCTGCTTCCCCCAGAAGGAAGGGGGCACCTTCCCGCTCCTCCAGCACCGCCGCACTCCGGGCTCAGCAGCGATCCCTTTGGCCTCTCCTCCCCTCGGGTCTCCGGGAGCCGGCCCTGCCGCGGCGCGGAGACGGCGCCCGCCGCCACCTCCGGCGGTGCCCGCGGGCCCGGGGGAGCGGCCGCGCTGCGAGGGGGCGGGCGGGAGCCGCNNCCCCGCGGGGCCGGCCAAGGGCCCGGCGGCCGCGGCGCGGCGGGACGCGAGCGCGGGAGCGCCGCCACCAGCGCCATCGTTCCCCCCGCACCCTCCGCTCCGGACAAACCTCCGGCGGCCGCTTCCTCTCGTGCCTGGCCGTCCCGACGGCGGGCGGCCGCGGGGAAGAGGTGGGGGAGGAAGAGGATGCGGCGGCGGATCCGGTCTCTCTCCCAGGCTGCGGAGGCGGCGGCGGCCCCTGGGCGCGCAGGCGCTGCTGCTGCCGCCGGCCCCCCTTCCTCCCCCTCCTCCTCCTCACCCGCCCGCCGCTACGGAGCGCCGCGCCCGCCCCGTCTGCGCATGCGAGGCGCGGGGGGGCGCCGGGCCCGCCCCCGGCTACCTCCGCCCGACACCGCACTGCCAGCGTCCAGTCTTCCCTTAAACACCTCCCGCGACGGGCACCCCACCACCTCCCTGGACAGCCCAAAGTCTAATCACTCCTTCTGTGAAGAAATTCCCTCTAATGTCCAGCCTAAACCTCCCCTGGCGAAACTTGGTGCCGTTTCCTCTCATTCTGGCGATGGTATCCAGGGAGAAGAGCCCGATCCTGCCTGGCTACACTCTCCTTTCAGGGACCTGTAGGGAACCACAGAGTCTGCCCTCAGCCTCCTTTTGTCCTTTTCTAACAGCACCAGCTCCTCACAGGACTCGTGCTCCAGACTTGCTGGGACCTGGAGGCCCGTGGGCTTCAGGGTTAACACCCAGCTGGTCCTCTCCCCCTGGCACGTGCCTTTGGCCCTTCAGCCATCCTGGAACATCCTTTGGCCAAGTGTGGGCTTGCTGCCCTAAAAGCAAAGCTCACCTGGTTTGTGGGGGCTGGAGCTTCCTCTGGGATGGAGGGAATTGACAGGGGCGCAGGAGGCTGAAAAAGAAAGGAAAATGCTGAGAACATTTACCTTTTTAAAAGCCATCCAGTGTTACTTATTTTCTTTATTTCTCTTTGGGTCCATCCACCAATAGAAGGGAAGTGCACCTCAAACAGGTGAAAGTATGATGGATGCAGAGCAGAGCTGGGGATTTAAAGCACACCAGACAAGTCACAGTCATAGAATGTTAAGGGTTAGAAGGGACCTTAGAGACCATCGAGTTCCAACCCCCCTGCCACAGGCATGGACACCTCCCACTAGGTCAGGTGGCTCAAAGCCCCATCTGACCTGGCCTTGAACACTTCCAGTTATTTGATTCAACAACCTCCTTGGGCAGCCTGCTCCAGTGCCTTGCCACCCTCACAATAGAGAATTTCTTACTAATATCCAGCCAAAATTTCCCATCTCACTTTGTACCCATTGCTCATTGTCCTGTCGCTACAAGTCATACAAAGTGCAAGAGCTGCTGTCAGTGGAAAGGACAAGCTTTGGCTGGGAAGGTCTGCAAGGAAAGGATCAGTAACCATTCCCAAACACTTTATAGTTTGTGTTTTGGTACAAAGGATTTGTTTAATCTGAATGTTATAGAAAGAAAAAACACATCAATTTTGGGAACTTCCCAACAGAGGAATATAAAGAATCTCTAAACATCCATCCCCCTTGTTTTTCCCTAACCACTCACCAGCCTGCACAGCACATGTACTGTGCTTTCCTCTCCTTCCACATTCCCTGTACCAGTAGTCTCTCATTTGGAGATGTGCAGTTCCACAGCAGCAACTCAGAGTCTCACCTCCTCTAAAAAGGCAGAGTAGACTCAAATTCCAGCTTCACATTTCATAAATTCCCACGACACGTGGTGGAGTACACTGTATGGCAAGAAGTGCTTCTTCTGTCCATATGGAAATAACATTACATTTGTCAGCCCCCTCAGCCATGTTAGGATGGAAGAGCATTGCTCCCTTTACTCAGTACTGAACAACTGGTAAACCCTGAAAATAAATGTAAATTTGCCTTGGTCTTCTGATTTTTTTTTTTCTGAAAGAAGGGTTTTTAACTGCAGTTCAAATCAAAAGATTGGTAATGTTTCCTTTTTTTTCCCTAAAAAAAAAGTAATTTCCAATATTATAAAAGGGAAATACTAGATTTACTTAGAGATGCAGCTTAAACATCTGCAAGAGGAGACTGCCAGCTTTCTGTGCAACAGCTGAAGGCTTTTACAACTATTCCTATCCTTGTGTTTTGATTTTCCTCCCACACAATGATTGAAAAACGTTCCCTGCATCACTGTTAAATGAGCCTCAGGTGGGAGGAGGAGTGGACAAGGAGCAGCTGCCTGCCATAAAGAGGACGTGGTTAGTTTTTTACTGGGATGTGAGCAGCAGCAGCAGCAGCAGCAGCAGCAGCAGCAGCAGCAGCAGCAGCAGCAGCAGCAGCATTGGACTTTAGGTTTTGGGGCTCTAATGGGGAGGGAGAAATAGCTTAGTTCTTGTAGGGGGTTTGTTTGGTGGTTTCTTTTGTTTTTGTGGGGGTTTTCCCCCCTTTTCTGCACCACTCTCCTTCTCAAAGGTAAAAGTAATTCTTTGGCCTGAGGGAGTCTGTAGGGTTTTGGGTGCTTTCAAGAGTTGCACCGGCCACCCTAGATGGAAGCTGAAGAGGGCTCCAGCGTTCCTAAAGCATTCTGAAACTCTAGGCTGAACCGTGTGCTAGTTTGTAACAGGTCTCAAAATAATTTTGGTTTTTTTGTAACTTTGAAGTGCTTGGGTCTTCTAAAGTGTGAAGCTTCTGTGTTCTCTGAGTTGTTATAGTTTTGCTTATAAGTTGTGTGTGATAGTGTTGTATTGCTTGCAAGTATTAGTTAACTGAGGAGACATCGAAGTGTGGGAGGAAGTTCTGTCTTGTGAATTTTATATGGCTCTGAATGCAAACTTACACATAAGGATTTTGGGGGGGTTGTTTTTGCTACCTATCATTTGGTTTAAGCGTAGGAAGCAGGGTGTCACTGAAATACTTGGTTTACTACGTTAGTTAGCTGTTGTTCTTAAGTATAGTATAAAGTGCAAATCCTGAATTAATGGAGTTCTTATTGTAATGTGTAACAAAGCATGCATTAGCATTAAGAAGTGTTTCCTTCATGAAGCATTAAATGTCTGATTGTGTGAAGCTGTGCTTCTTTTTTAACATTTGTATGTGTGTGGCCTCTTGCTCAAGGCTAATTCACTGAAGGCTTTTTTTATTTAATTGGCTGGGATACTTCTTGTTGAGATGTATGCATCTAAGACTACTGGAGCTCTGTTGCTTTAGAACATGTTACAAGGTTGCCTTGAAGGACTAATATTGGGAGCTGTGTACAAAAGCTTGCTTAGCAAAGCCCAACTGAAATATTTGACCTTGATAGCATGTCAGTTTGTTACCTTCTGTTTGGAAGACAGCAGCTTCCTCTTGGAAGGATATGTTTTCTTTGGGCAGGGAGAGGAGTGTTTGCTAAATTCTGACAGAGCATAAAAATAATTAAGTCATGTAGTTTTTAAAGTGGTTGATAATGATTACTTCTCTCTTTCAGTTCTTAAAGAAAAATGAATACTGCCTCAACTTCAGAAAGTGGATCGTATTCCACAAACAACCCAGGACCCTTTATTTATGCTCAGTCATCAGCTCAACAGCCTTATCCAAATCCATGGTGCCTCAGTTATGCATACAGTCCATACTGCGTACCTGCTCCAGGTAAGGAAAACAGCACCTCTGTGGGATCCTTGCTTGCTTAGTTACATACTTTCTTCCACTCTTGCAGTATCTGTGTTAATGAGCCTCTTGGGAGTTTAACTAATACTTAAGATTTTTGACAACCATAGCACTACATTAATTGTGCCTTAAATATGTAGGTTCTGTGGTGGAAAACACCTGCTTCTGGAGAATGGAAGCTAAGCAAAATATTAACTAATGGTCATCCTGCAGACACAGAGCTCCAGAATGTACTTAGCAATTGATATGCGTGTGTATATATGAATTCCACATGTGCATGTGTGATAGGTATGGATAAACGTGAACTTAAGAAAATAAGAAAAATATTGTTAAATACACCTTGTAAGTGCTATGTCTATGTGAACTTCTATCTGGAGCTGTCTTTTCAAAATCAATGTTACATCAACAGTCTGTGAAATAGCCCAAAAAAGCACAGAAAAACAATTTGGTGAATGTTCCAAGGGATGAAATCAAGCTCTGGTTGAAGTGTAGATGTTGAGATAAGCTACTGCCTAATGAAGAACTCTCTCTGTTTTTGCACCAGATTTGCTTCTAAGTATTGAAAGGTGGAGTGTTTTATTTACAGATGTGTCTGATCTTGTAGCTGTCTCTGTCTAGTAAATATTATTCAGGCTTACTTATTTCAGAAAGATATTATTTGTCTTTTCTTTTTGTCACCAACGTCTAGGCTTCCGGAGTGGAAATCCATATTTTCCATTTTATTCTGTTGCACTCCATGAGTACCCTAGATTTTTTGTCCCACAGCATCCAGTGCATGCAAGAATTAACAGAAGGCCTTATTTTAATGCTGCCCCATCTTCCCCTATGTTTTATCATGCAACAAGATTTAGGCATTACAATAGCTCTGGGAAGAAAATGGAGACAAAAGAAACACAGACTGATCCTAGACAGCCTGAAAGCAAGCAAAAAAGGCATCAAGATATCCGTACAGAAACGAAAGGTTGTGGTGCAGGAAATACAGCCTGTGTTTCTCCTGGTATAGGTACAGAGACTGAAACCACTTCAGAGAAACGAGATTCGTTTGGCTCCTCTATTGTGGTAGACAGAGAGTTTCATAACAAGAGCCCTGCCAGCTCTACACAGTATAGAAATCTTCCTACTGGAAGCTATGCCTTTGAGAAGGAAGAAGTGAGGATAGAATATGGAAATGGCTCTCCAGCTATTCAGCTGTGGAAGTCCTTTAAAGAAACAATCCCACTGTATGATGCGGCAAGTGGTAAACCAGTTTCAGAGAACATACTGCCACATGACTTATTTTCTCTTAGCTCATGTGAAGGCTTGCTATATGGCCCTCATGAAGGGGAGAATATGCTGCCAGGAGCTTCCTTAGATGAGAGAAAAGCTGTTGTGACCTCCAAACAGGGTGCTGAAGCTGTGCAAGAGAAAGATGTCCAAAATAATGAAGTTGAGCTGGATGCAGAAAAGATGGCAAAATCCCCCCCAGGTGAAACCATGGCAGTGCAAATCACAGAGTTGGCAAGGTCTGTTGGTGTAGATCAACCAGTGGTAATAGCTAAGAAATCTAGCACTAAAAGGGCTGCAGGATCAAAAACTTCTCAAGAAGAGCCTAGCTTTATTCAACAAGCAGGACTACTTCCATCTAATATGGAGGTAATGAGTGACTTTCAGCAGAAAAAGCTGAATTTAAGCCACAATGCAACTGGTGAAAGGCAGACAGAAAAAAGTATTTGGTGTGACAAATCAATTGAGAAGTTTGCTCCCTCTAGCAGCTGGCTGGCTTGTTTGGACAGTATGGACACAAACTACAATGCTTGTTTGCCACAAAGGAAGTGTCAAAGTGTAATCAGTCTGTCTTCTGATGACATGTCCTCTGGAGAGGAAGGCTCCTCAACTGATAATGCCCCAGTGTCTTATTTTGTGCCTGACAATGTGCTTCAGAAAAGCACGTATACTCTTCAGAAAAGTACAGACGGCTTAGAGCAAATTAAAGGTGGTGGATCCCCTAATGTAGATGAAGCCGTAGGAAAGGAGCAGGTGAACAGCCTCAATGACCAAGATGTCAACTCTTCAAACACAAAGATCAAAGAGGCTTCTAGTAAAGGTAGAAAGCTGGGAGCCCTTTCTAGGTCCTCTAGTAGGAAAGAAGTCGATTCTCCCAGCAAAAAAGCAACTAAGAGTTTGTCAGAAGTTGAGGACTCTGAAGAATATTCTGTGAAGGGAGAAGAGGAAGATGAAGATGGAGAGGATGAGTATGAGGATGACGAGGATGACGACATGGACGAAATTGAGTATTTCTTTCAAGAAGCCCCTCCATATTGCATCTTGAGGCCAAGTAAAGGAAATTTCTACCAAGTTGGCCAGAGAGTGCTTTGGAAACCATCTACAAATGCTGTACCAGCGCAATTGATTAGCTGGCCGGCTCAAGAGAAAATAAAAACCAGGAGTGGGCTTGTTGAAAACATTGGTGTAGTTTATAAGCCAAAGAAGAGAGAACAAGATGAAGTTGTATACAGTGACTATGGGTATTATGGAAGAAAGAGGCCTATGACAAGAAGAGAAGGACTTGAACACCAGCGAATGCTACGGAAATTCTTGAGAGGTGAGCTAATTGCTAAGGACAAAGTGCTCATTAGTACCATACACAAAGAATACCTAATTGCAGTTTCATATTGTAGGTTAAACTAGTGGGAAGATTACAGCATGTTGTAGCTTCAAATTTGGCCAAGAGCCAGAAGTCCTGCAGAATGCTTTCTGAAGCAGAGGGAAGTTTGCAACTTTTTAGCTACTGCATAGGGATTCTGTATTTTTACAGCCAGCAGAGAATAATGCAGGAACTCTCCTTTGTGTTAGATTTGATATACTTAACTCTCTGATATCAGTAGCAATTTATTAATTTGCAGAGTTTAAGGTTATTTGGACTATGTATTGACTGTTGCTTAATATTTAGAAGCTTTGCATTTCAGTTTATACAATCTGACTCTCCTATCACAGATTAATGATGGGTGCATTAAACAGAATTAAGTTCATTATAATCTGGTGGACATACCCCGTGTAACTTTCCTGCAGTAGTCAAACAATTTTTTTTTTTAATTATAGCTGCTGCTCTCTTTGTAAAAACAGTTTTGTACTTTCAAAAAACTGGTGTGAAACAGTATTAAATTTGATCTTGGAAAGAACATATTTATTCCAAGGTAGATCCTCTTAGAAATTAGATTAATGTGAACTGAGAATAAGAAGAGTTATCAGTTTGCAGCTGGTTATATGGTCACTTCAGCAGGTGGCTGCTGTTTAGTAGAGTCTTGCATTGTAAAAACCAACCAAAACAGGGTGATTTACTTCTAATAGCAGGTTTAGTGTTCTTAAACTTTATTTTCTTTCTTCAAAATCTGTATACTTAATGTAATTTTTGTTAAGTGTAGTCTCCAGAAAACTGTTTCTATTTCAACAGACTCCTACAATCAGACCCAGTAGCTGGCTTTGCATTCTGGCTTGTGGATGAAACAGTACACCAGCATTTCCAAGACTAAATACTGACCTTAATTTTTTTTTTTTAATTTTAATTAGGAAGGCTGTTAAGAGAGAATGTGGGGATACTACCTGAAGAGTACTGGATTAGAAGTGGCGCTAAACCCAGATTTACCAGCCAAATATGTGGTAGTTTCTCACCTCCAGCAAGGAGCAAAGAACAAGGTACAACTTTCTCTGTGTGTTTTTGTTCTTAAGGAACATCCAGAAGGATATGATACAAAATAGCAAGCATGTGATAGTTCAATAAGATTTGAAAACAATAAAACTAATCCTTCCTGCTTTGGTATTGATAAAATGCCTGTCAGTCAGTGTCTCTTGGATATGTTTATAGCCTTCTCGAACAGAAACAGGGTAATAAGGTGCATCAGAGATACTTCTGGGGATTTTTTTAAAAGCAATTTTATAGGAAATCAAAACATTTAATGCTTTGGTGTGGCCAAAGCAAAGCCTTTATTCGTGTGAAGTTGTTACTGCCATAAAGTGTAATATAAATTATTTATACAGATAATGCCACTCTTGATACCATATGCAGTGGTAGTTCCTAATTTTGATCAGTAAAACATATGTCCTGTGTTTCAAGTATCTCAGGATCAGCCTATCTTCAGAACAGCCTGATTTGCTTCTCTTCAGTTCACTGATAATATACATCAGCTTTCCTATATCAACAACCGAGTAGATAGAGCTAAGGAAAACACTCTTTCTCTACATTGCTTTCCTGCTTGAACATACTGGGGTTTGGGATTATTTGCCTCTTGCATTGGAGGCTTTCTACATGCAGACTTCGGTGTTGTAGGGTTTTGTTTATTAATGCTAGCATGCTCTATAAGAGTTGAAAACATTTTACTTTAGCAGCGTTGTTCTTGGCTCCACTATAACAATGTATAAAAATATGGTAATAGTTCTAAAATAACTGTAAATTACCTTTAACTTTCAGCATGTCTCTTCTGCATCTTTGAATTCATAGATGGTGCAGCAAACTGAGGATGTTTGGTCTATTCCTTGCTTACTCTTCCTCTTTTTCTAGCCCAGGTAGTTTGAAGAAGTCATCACATTGTGTTAGGAAGCAGGAACTGGTGTTTTCTGAATGCTGTTTGTGACAGTGGATGCCTCAGAAGTGCTATTAAAATTACGTTCTCTTTAAAAATGTTGCCTATATTAGTACTTGTATTTTCAAATTACAGTGCTCTACAAGTAAGGAGGTTGGTCTAAACAAGTGATATATGGCTTTAGCAGTAATATAATGCACTAAATTTGACTGCTTGAGCAGTTTACATGTAGAGCATAACTTCACAGGTCTGAAGTTTTTTAAAGACAGCGGGTGAATTGGGTCACTTGGACAGCACCAACTAGTCTTGAACACCTGAAAAGTGAACTAAGGCAGAATTATCCAATGTACTAGGGTCCTTTTTTATCACATTAACACCTATCCAAATTATGACCCAAAATACAATGCATCCAGAATTTTGGTTAGACAGTGATTAAATGCTGCAGATGCACAAGACTTGCTTGACATGTAGTGTCAATTTTATCTGCTACTTAAAATGGGTACAAAAAAAGGAGGGAGGAAGAGGAACACCACAGACCAGCTGGTGAAAGTCATGGTTAAATTTCCCTTGAGACTATGCATTGGAGAAATAACACCATTTGTATCTTGTTATTTAGTGTGCCAACCTTTGGTTAAGCCAAAGAAGAGAAGAATGGGCAAGCCACCTTCAAAACGCAGAGATGCGAGACAGGAGATGGAAGAAGTAGAAACATGGGAGCTGCCTAAACACAGCACACAAAAAGGTTGGTATACACTGACAAGCTACAAAAATGACTGTTACAAGCATTTTTTCTATCTTGGGGACTGATCTTGGTTTGAACTGCAGGGATGTTGGTTAGTTTGTGAAAGTTAAACTCAGCACTTAATCACCTTGCTATGAATGCTAGTGTAACTTTGACCAGGTTAGATTCCTTCTTTGTTTAATGTAAGGATGGGGGAGGAAACCCACACTGAAACCTGCTGTTTTAGTTTTAGTCTAGTTGCTCTTCAGACTGCTGTACTGTCTTCTTTAAGTGCTGGGTCCTGTGTCACTTTGCAGTATATGCTTTTATTTAAGCTGCTTATCTGCCTCAGCTCAAATGATCTGTAATTCGATATAACAAAAATGCATATAGATAATTCTAAAGATCTCCAACTTTATGGATTAGGAACTTCTGGTTATTATGGAAGAAGGCAGGGAAAAACCAAAATGAACTCGATTCAGCAACAAATATGCTTTTGTGCATTAGTGTGAGTCTGAAAAGTTTATAAATTGAAAAGGGTCAGTAGATACAAGAAGCTATCTGAAAGATCATTTTTCTTTCTGGAAAAGAATAAGTTAGCATAGAAAAATGAACCCAAATGTTCCATCAGGAAATACATGAGTAAAAGACAGTCTCTCTCTCTCATATAATAGACAAAGGATTAGACTTTCATCTGGGAAATATAAGGAAGGTTGGAAACAAACTTAGGCTGAAGTATCTTGCTAGTGAAAATTTGCATCAGCCCTGAAGATAGATTGTTTGAACATAGGTCTTAAACCTTTAATTGCTGACCAGCTTTTATTAAAAGCATCCAGGAAACTTGCATAATCCCAAAACACTTCTTGTACTTTCCCCAAAAATAGCTGATGTTTCTTGGATACATTCAACAATGTAAGAGCACACTGAGACTGTGATATGAGCTTCATACGGAACTCTTTCTTATTTGTTGTGCTGGGATATTCTGAAGTCCAAAACCACTCATGCACATTTTATACTAGCTGGGAAGTTGAGTACATAATTCTAATATCAACCATCAGTGCCTGCAATAGGAAAAGACCATCACTGGTATCTAGTCTTTAAGAAGCCAATTGACATAGTTTGGAGGTGGAATATATACATACCTTAACTTTTTTCTTTTTTTATCTTTAGGGCATGGAACAAAGAAGTCCCTCTCTAAGAAAAGATAATTGCAAATATTGGGGCAGAAGTGAGGGGAGGAATAACAAAGGTTTTTTTGTATAAATCCAAGATTTGATTATTATTCTAGTATATATTTTGTAAGTTGCTGTTCACTCTACAAGGGCAAGAAGTGACACTGTGAAGACTGAGGACACAATTGAGATGGAATGAAGTATTTAACACCAAAGTCACCATTTTATAATTGGCACATCCACTATTTAAATAATAAATTTCATAGAATTGCACTTTGAGACTTCTTGTGTTCCGTCTTTACACAGTAGCAAAAAAAACTTGAGATGGCCATATATGTGCAAAACTGCCATTATAGCATGACAGTTATTGCTGCCCTATCCTTAAACTCTGCAAGTCTGTGAGGCCTGTCCATGTTCTTTCATAGTCATATGATCTGGACATAAGTACAAGATCTTTTTTTATCAGCTGGATTTGTTTTCGTCAACATGCAAAGGAATATAGTCACAGCTGTATCACGTCAAGTGCTGTTTTACACTTTCAAGGCAGTTCCTCAGGTCTTATGACTGGGGACTAAAACTAAAGCATTGAGTTGATGTGATGCTTCCCTCTTCTCCCCTTTTTCTCTGGACATTTTTGAGTCCTTTATGGAGCCCCTGAGCTGGAGATATGGATCTGAAAGGTAAAACAGAAGTTTTTAGTGGTGTGCCCTGTTTTCTGACTTCTTACTGATGACTTCTGTGATTTACAGCTGGTACTGTCCCCAGAAGTCTCTTTATAGAACTAAGATGGTAAAATCAGGTCTCTGCTGAGCTGTCTTAGGAATAATGGTAACAGGCTGATCTACATGAGGTGGATAGCTCAAAAATATGTAGTTTTTTTCCATATCTATGAAGGTTATCATTACTGTGTGAGAAGAATAAATATGATATTGCCAGTCTTGAACGATTCACAAATAAAGTGATAGCATCAGTGAAGAAAACGGGGAAACAAAAAAAAACCTGCCAACAAAACACACATCTGGCTTTCCTTAAAAAAGGGTGGGGTGAATGGACAGACAGAACTTGTCTTTTGCTTCCTCTCCATGTTCTTATTCTGTCTGTGCCCTAGAGTAACCTACATCAATAAAAGTAGCATTTCCTGTGACTGTTCAGGTTTTGTGCCTACCTATTACAAGTTTGGCCATAACTGAAGTTATGCTGTTTTCCCTCTTAATGAGGAGTAGTGATGTTTCCCTACCCAACTGATCCTATCTCTCTATTATTTTTAATACCACCTGGTTAATTGTTAAAGCTCTGCTATAACTACAGCCTTTAGCACAAGCTGTTAGAGGAAAGAAGTCATTGTGATGACAAGTTTTCAATTCCTTTTCACTTCAAGCAATGAAAGAAAATAAATGCATTAACAATTCTTATTTGGCTTCTGTGCTGCACAAAATCTCTGCACCAGAACATCAAAGAATAAAATGAGGAATTCTAGCATGGAGCTTTTTTACACGCATTTCTGCTGATAGCCTTAGCTGTATCTTTTGCTGCTTATCTTATAAAGGAATACTCATGACCTCACAGCAGATTACTTTTGGGAATGGGTAATACTTGACAGATACTCCAAGTGATCATGTTGGTCAGCCTTTTACAGGTCTTGCACTACTCAGTGTGATTTCTACTCAGATGCAAGAAGTAATTTAGGACCTGAGGATGCTCCTGAGAGGACAAGAGGGAGTAGCAGTAGAAGAGTTTACACTGCTCTTTATCTGAAAATAAATGCTATTTTAAACTGATTATATCTTGTACTATACCTGTGCTATGCCTGATACTTATAGTATGTGTGAATGCTCCAGTGTTCAAGAAATAATTCTTTGATAAGGTTATATGCAGTGTAGTCCACTCTAACAGTACTAGTCCTGTGACCTTAAAACTAAATCTTCTGCTTGGCTTTTTTTTTTCCATTCAGCAGCATAGATAATTTGAGGATTGCATCTTAACTGGCTTACAGCTGAAACTAATGTTCCAGTGAGTCAAAAGGCCATGCTTCACAAAGGCAGTGAAGTACAAACTGCATTTAAAAGGCTGGGAGTTCAAGCCCAGGCTCTTGCTTATTCAGCCAGGTAACTAAGGCAAGGTGATATTTAGTTTTGCAGATGCACATACGTGTCAGCTTTTGTTCTCACTGCAGCCAGACTGACTGCCCAGTGACTCACTGCAGAGCTGGCAGTACTGTGAATTTGTAGCTGTCGCAGTACTGCATTGCCTTGGAAGTTTTCACATGCTTCCTGCAGCATCTCCTGAAAGGCAGCTGAAGAATCTATTTGCTGCTTGGCACACCAGCAACAAACCTTAGAGGCCTCTGGGATTGCCATACTGAGAGCATTGTTTGGACAGACTTACTGTCTGTGGCTCAGGATTTCTAAATCATTATTTGTAACTAACTGAAACCTCTGTTGCAAAGTGGGTGTGGTGTAATTACTGATGTGGAGCTCTGGGTTCTGTTGGCTCACCAGGTATTAATTCTGTATTTTAATTTTCAGTTTTGTAGCACCTGGATGGCATAAGTTTTTTTCCTGTTTACAATGTCTGGTGTTCTGCCTTATACTGGAAAATATTAACCACAGGTCTTTCTATTAAAATCAAACAAATGCAGAACGGAGCCAATGACAAAAAAAACCACAAAAACCCATACCTCAAACCCCATGCCAACTGAAGGCGTACCAAGGGAAAAAAAAAAATTAATTCTTTTTTTTTTAGAGTACTTAGCTTCCCTTGACTTGCTGCCACTGGCTGTCTCACTCAAAAAGACTATAAACCCCACCTAACTGAATGGCTGAAGAAATAAGGAAAGCATCAGTATTTTACCTGAAATACCTTTCTTACAAAAATGATGCAGAGTATTAAGATAAAAGACTTGGGAAGCTATATTGCCTTTGAGGGTAGTTTTAGCTGCATTTAATGCCTATTTAGTTTCATGGCACTATATAATCATGTTATTACTATCACTTGGGCTTCAACAGAACATTCAAATGGAAATAGATGTCTATAAAGAAGGCCAGAAAAAATGTTTTTTGAACAAAAACATTACATGGTTATGATTTAAAAAATAAGGCTAGTAAGTTTTTCAAGACTATAACTTCCTATCCTGCTTTCTGGGTTTACTTCAACATAGAACTGTTTTTCATTAATCTAAAGGGGTGTTGGTATTTATCTCTAGTCTACATATTTTTAAAAGACTTATCTTAAATGACAGCTTTGGCACTGTTTAAAATGCCAAATGATGACGTGAATCATGCTTCTCAGCACTCTAGCCCTGGCTGTTAAAAGAGCTCTTGTAAATCTTAGTCTATTGGAACTGTTAAATTTTGAAATGTTACTTTTTATGAGTTGCAGTAAAGGCCTACATGGGATATGACAGAGGCTTATAAAACTGGAAATGACAGGGAGAACAAACAGGAATCAGTTATTCACACACCCTCCAGTGTAAGATTAAAGGTGTGTGAAATTAAACTAGTACAAAGCAGTGTGAAAGTCAATTGCTACAAATTACTAAACAATGAAGAAGAATTCATTGCTAAGGAAAATGGCAAAGTTTATAAGCAGTGAGTGGATATAAAAGAAAATATATATCCAAGGCCACTAAATACTAAAATCTAACCCATGATTCCAAGTACCTGCACCATAGGTACTCTCAGCAGTAGAGGGTGAGAGAGCATTTCAGTGAAGCAATGAAATAAGAGAAGAAATAATAGCAGAGTTTGCACTGCTCTGCTGTGGAGGTGTGTTCTATAAACCCTAATTGGAAAGATACTGATATAACAGACCTTTAGTCAGGCATAGAAAGTTATATGGCATCTCAAACATTTAAATTGGATTTGACTCAAGTTAGAAATGGTCTCCTAATGTATTTTTCTTAATTGTTGAAATAATAAATCCTGACTGATACAAGGAGAGAGTTCCATCAATAAGGAAGGGGATCGCAAAGGAAAAACTGATTTTTTTTATATTAAACTAAGCTTCAGAACAATCTTAAATGACAAAAGCTGAAGTAACTGAAGAGATCCTAAGTTAGCCCTGCTCTAGACAAGCCTGAGTTCTCTTGATCTTGGAATGCATCAGGTCAATAACAGGCTTCTAGCATCTGTTCAATAACCTGTAAATGCATTAATCTCAGCCCCACGTGTGGCAATACAAGAATCCTAGAATGGTTGGGTTGGAAGGGGCTGTAAAGATCATCCAGTGTCAACCCCCTGCCACATTCAGGGCCACCTCCCACTAGACCAGGTTGCCCAGAGCCCTGTCCAATCTGGCCAAGAGAATTGGTCCATTATAGAGCTCCCCATGCTATTTCAGCTGTTAAATCTTTTTTCTGGTGAAAGAACAAGGCCCTTAGAATTTGATGATGCTGTTGATACAGGGAACTAACATGAGTCACCAGTAAATCCCACCACAGGGAGATTTGCTAAATACAAGAGAAAATACAACTCTACCTTCAAGGTCTGGGAATATGATACAGAAACTTCTTGTAAGTAGGCCTTGCTGCCTTGCTTATCTTGTTTTTCCTCAGAACATATTGTGAATACTGGCAAGGAATGGGGGATTATTTTTACTAAACCACTCTAAGACATGTAGGAGGGAGAAAAACATTTTAATTTATATTTTCCCTTGTCTTCTCTTCCAAAGCTTTGAAGAAAATAAAAAAATATCTTAGCTGCATTGTAGTCTATGACTTTGATTTCACTGTTAATGTTCACTCTACTGTATTAGAGCTGTACCATGTGGGGTTTTTTTCAATCTTAGTATACCCAGAGAGACTAAATTCTATAGAAGTTCTTTCAAAGCAAATCTAGTTTTCTCTTTCCTTTTGCACATACCAATATCCATCATCTAGTTCCTCAATTCACAGCTCTGTACCTTGAGGTTTCAAAGAAAGCTGGTTACTGTAAACTACTGTTTATAGCTATCTCCATTTTCCTTGTTGAGTCTGCAAGATTATGTAAAAGTGTGGTCAGTATGTAAGGTGTCCTAAGTACACAAAATGTTCTCTTCTTCCTGCTTACAAATTCTTTACTATTATTGTGCTTTCGTGCATGTAGTTGAAAACCATTTTGAGAGCCTTACACATTTATATTCTTGTGGAATGATTAAAAAAAAGTTACCTCATCAAATCTAGTAAGCATAAAAAGTGGGAATTTATTACCCCCAAGCCTTTAAAAAAGGAAACCTCCCTCAACTTTTATCAAAATCATTGATACTGCAGAATATGCAGAAATCAATCTTTTTAATTTCTTACATGGAACCCCCTTTTTTAAAACGAAACCTACTACCTCTTTACAGTTAAATTGAATATTTAACATCATTACACTTGGCTCCCACTTCTATGGTTTAGACACTGTAAATGTTTCACTTCAAGTGTTTCAGAACTGTGCATTAATGATGGTGATATTGAGATTTTGTTACACACACACACCAAAAAAAAATCAAGTCTTGCTGATGCTGCAATTTTGTCTTAAAGTAAATCCCCTTGATTATCTTTTTTCCCCTGCAGCAGAACTCTTTATTTCCCTAGCTGCCAATATTAGGATAGGTACACAGAAGTTCAGCACGTATGCGCAGAAGGAAATACAGTACAACCTGCTCTTTACAAGCACTGTAAGGCAGCCCTCAGTGCTCTGCATGGTGCAGACTGCACTCCTGTTACAATGAGGCTTTGTATATAATAAAATAACTTCACAGAGTAAAGACACTTCCACAGACAGTCTGCTAATGCTACAGGTTTGTTGGTGATCCCTTGGTGGTCGCTGCTTTCTGCTGCTGGTCACAGGCAGCAATGCAGAGGCCCCATCTGACCAAGCTGGATGACCCTCAGCATGGGTTTTACAGCACAATGATATGATTTAATGCAGCTTTCTTCTTTCTGGCTGCAGAGGGGCAGAAGAGGATGCCAGTGTAGGATGCTGTATGCACACATATGTATGTTTCAAGTTTAATAAAGCCCTTTCTGGTGTTTTCCTCCTCATTCTTTGGATCTTTCCTCGCAGTTCACAAAAAATAGAGAGGTCAATGAACATGCAGCAGGTGACTGCTGTCAGTCAGATCCTGACTTGTCATTAGATTTGGATGATTTACGCTTCCTCTTTTTCTTCTTCTTCTTTTCTTTCTTTTTCTTTTCCTTTTTTCTCTTTTTCTTCTTGTGTTTATGTTCTGAGGAAGTGGAGCTGCTGCTATCTTCATCATCTTCATCACTGTCATCGCTGCTATCAGATTCTGAGGTAGAGTCCTCCAGGAGCTGCTTCAGTTGCTGTATCCTGAGTTTAAAATAGGTGAATGAGAATCCTTTCTAGCTTGTCTTTCCCCCCTAGCTTTCATCTTTCCTTCCTGGTTTGAGGAATGGTTGAGCTGCATGCAAAGGGCAGGGGAACACCTCCTCTTTTGCTTAATTAGCTCTCATTACAGATAATATCATGGACTGATAAAAGCAACTCCTTTGAGACAAGCAGATGTTCTGCTTTCAGGGACTTTCCATCCCATTGGATAGGAAAGGCAGACTAACTTATTAGCTTATTTATGTGTGCAAAATAGTAAGGCAACAGCTATCACCAGCCCACCTGGTGATAAGAAGTTCTATGCTTATCCCTGCAGAGGAATATTGGGATTAGGGTATTATGACATTCATTGTCCTGCAGATACAGAGAGGATGTCAGTGAAGCTGACAGGGTAGGCTCTACTCTGGATGCAGAAGTATTTTTTGAAAGGCACTCTTCCTTTGAGCTTGCAAAGATTACTGGTGAACAGGGACAGAATATTTGCTGATTTTATTTTTGTTCCCTGTATCCTCTTCAAGGATTCCTCTCCAAGAGTGCTGCTCTATGGACTGCCTAAAGTTAGTTCAGTTATCCCACTGAAGCAGTTCAAGCAAGAAAACAGCAAAACCTGTCACTTTATATACTAAATAATGACCTCACAAAAGTAGCAATATCAGGTGCCTAGCACTAGCTTTCTAAACCCCTGCTTAATTTCTACTGAAAACATTCTGACAAATCAAATTTTAGAAAACATCTCAGTGAAGTCAGTGAAAGAAAAAAAAATCAAACTGTTTTTTCAGGCCTAAACAAAAAACCACACCTAAGTACCTCAATATTATGGCATAATTATGCTCTTTAAACTTTGTTTTGGGGAAAATACAAAAGCAAAAGAATTGAAGTGATTGATAGTACTAAAGAGTGATTATTTAGAAAGCAGAAATGCATTAGTCTATCAACATAAAGAAACTGCCATTAAAAAAATGTTCTGAACTAAAAATAAATTTCTATAAAAAGGTCACCTATACATTAGTGCCACCTTATCAAAATAAAAATTAAATTGAAAATGCTGTTTACTACAGACACACTCACCTCTTTTCTTTTTCATGACGCTTATTTTCCCTTATTATATCATACATTGGATCTTCATGTGCCTTTAAAATGGAAAACAGGAAATGCAATGTTATCACCGATGGTTTTATTTCCTCAAAAAAGAAACCAAAGCAACCAAATGCAAGAGACTTTTATCAAAAGAGAGAATATGCTTAGCAAGCTGTTAATTCACTGTCAGCACTGTTCACCTGAACTGGTGTATTTGCTTTAGGGAAAGGTTATCTAGCTACATCTCCAAAGAAGGGGTCCCTCCTTAGGTATGCATCTCCCTACCTCTCCAATCACAGCCAACTATGAGAATCCCACACATCATCTGTGGGAATAGCTAGACTTAGACACAATACTCAAGTTCAAAATAATGATCTGTACCCTTACAGATTGGGTATAATTTCGATATAAACAAACAGGAACACAAGAGTAAGGAATATAAGATATGGCTAATGAAGTTGGAGCTGTTCTATCATTCTATGCACTACCATTAGTTCTAAAATCAAATTAAATGGGCATTGTAGCAAAAAATAGCTGTGAAGGAAGACAGCAAATAAACTTTGCAGACATTTAAGGTGGGTTCATGCCATGCAAGAATGCAGAAAAAAGGTGGGGTGGTCATTTCTGTTGGAAGATTAAGCAAACAAGTCCAACAGAGAGGAGAGATGCCCAATGCTGACCAGAGGTGGGAACTGAAATTTCAGGAGCAAATGAAAGATGATGGGAATGCTCCATGAAGGGCCTTGGACATACAACAACAGTTTGATGCAACAAAGAAGCCTGATGGAAAATGAAGACTAGAGGCAGTCTGGTCATGGGAAAGGGCTAAAAATACTCTTTGCAATTCCATACAATCAGTACAAATCCAGAACTTGGACAGACTAAGCCAAGATTACATTTTTCAAGGACAGAAATGAGGACATAAAAGACGTGAAGTGATGACAGCTTGAAATATAGGTCAATGATGCAGAGCAACAGAAATAGTTAAAGAAATCACACAGGAAGAATCTGCAGAACTGAGACAGAGCTTAATGCAGCAAGAGATCAGACTTGTAGACAATGACTGGATAACAGACCTAGACAACAGCATTCATGATGTGGTTGTTCACAATGAGAGCAGAAGGCTTGAAGCAGCTGTAACGTGGGCAGCTCAAGCTTGACTAAACATTTTTTGTTATGTTGACATTTTAACCACAAAAAAATAATAATGGTTGAACCAGGTTCTTGAAGATTTCCAATTTATATGTAAAAATTATTAATTTTCCTCTTGAAGAGTAGATTTTCTGCAAAGTAGTCAAACATCCAACCACATCTGTAGATTTTTCTTTATTAGGAGATTTTCGGCATCTATGTTATACTAGAGACAGAGAAAAAGTCCTTAATAAAGCATCATCTAACAGGCTTATCTTCAGCTGCAAGATTATGCATAGTCAGTACTAAAAACTACAAGCAGTAATACTACAATATTGGTACTCACTACTCTAAATTGCTCCAATTTCTGATTGCCTTTAATAAAGAATGGGCATTCCTTATCTCCTGTTCTGTGTCCATAACGTTTACATCTCCAACCTTAAAAAAAAAAAGCAGCAATTAATTGCACCTCTGAGACAGATAAGAAGAAGCATAAAAAAGCCAAAACCACATTTCTGCAAAATATTTTCAAACTGTTGGAAGAAACAGAGAAATACAACCACTATGTTGATAAATGTAATATCCATAAAACATTAGGCTGTAACAGCCTTCAAGATACTTTTTGCTTTTCTATCAATATCATGTAAATCTACCTGGACTTCATCATCTGTCCACCAGACATTCTGCCCTCCCCCAGGGTAAATGGATGAGATATGATGGTCCAACGACATCTGGAATATTTTCAGCCTTACACTGCATAACTTTGACTTCTTTTCCCAAAGGCATCCAAAGCCCTTTTGTTGGGGCATGTGCCAGGAATTCTCGTGCGCTTTCATTGCCTGGTACATCAGGTATGCAGTCTTCTGGTTTTGTTTCATTCTCCTACCAAAAAAAGCAGAAAGACAAGGACAATAAAATAGCTTCCTTTGTTAAACTTTGCTAGAATTAATACTTCAAGTGTACAGACTTTCACTTTATAGGAAACATATTTCCTCCGTTACCTTTTTACCCTGTAACACACAAAAGATTTAAAATACTTGACCCTTTCTTTTTTTCTCACCCTTGAATTCTGCAGCCAGAACTTTGCTGCACAGGAATTTCAATCCTTCCCATCCATTTTAGTAATTTATTTAAATAAACAATAGAAATGAAAACTTAACACCAAACAGAGACTTTGTTATCCTCTTCCTATTAGAAAGACATAACAATTACAAGGAAGCCTTTACAACACAGAGCAGTTATTTTTTTAGGTTAAAAACATTACTTTATGGCTTAGGTATATAAATTTGGCAAAAGTAATGATCATGATGAAAGAATTATTTTGGCCTAAGCAGTATAGAAGAATCCTGAAAATATGTCATTCAAACAGAAAATCTGCTTCTATCCACACTATTACATACTGCATGAAGTATGCTAAGAGATGATGAAAGACAAAGTCTCCTTCTATCTGATCCTGGGCATTTCACTCTGGATCACCACGACAAAGTAGTCAGCTTGTAATGATTCGCTGAGTTTTTCCTGGGAAGCATTTACTTCTCTCTGACAATAGAAATGAAAACTTAACACCAAACAGAGACTTTGTTATCCTCTTCCTATTAGAAAGACATAACAATTACAAGGAAGCCTTTACAACACAGAGCAGTTATTTTTTTAGGTTAAAAACATTACTTTATGGCTTAGGTATATAAATTTGGCAAAAGTAATGATCATGATGAAAGAATTATTTTGGCCTAAGCAGTATAGAAGAATCCTGAAAATATGTCATTCAAACAGAAAATCTGCTTCTATCCACACTATTACATACTGCAAGAAGTATGCTAAGAGATGATGAAAGACAAGGTCTCCTTCTATCTGATCCTGGGCATTTCACTCTGGATCACCAAGACAAAGCCAGCTTGTAATGATTCTCTGAGTTTTTCCTGGGAAGTACTTACTTCTCTCTGATTTATATAGGTAACACAGACACTTAAACACCTAAAGAACAAGTTTTGTGAAAATCCCTCATAATCCGAGAAAATTACTGCTATTTACCAACCTTAATTAGCCCAGGGGGAGGTTTCTCATAGCTGAAAAGCAATAGAAATATTGTTACTCTGCAGCTCAGCACAGACAAATAAATTGAAAAAATAATTTTTTTTCAGTGGCATTGAGTTAAAGCCTTCAGCTCATATTTTTCCTAAAATTTTACCCTGTAACTTAGAACTACAGCAGAACATGGATACAGCAAGCTGAGAGACAGCATTTATCACATTAGTACACGTCTCCTGCAAGCATCCTTCAGATTCATATTCTTGTGGGAGCACAACTACTTCCTGGGGTAGTACATTTGATATGTAGTACATTTGATTTAGCTTCAGTAACCACACATGCATAATTCTCTCCTCTTTTTCTGCTGCACCCCTCCCCGAGGTCTCCAAACTTCCTTACTGCAGCACTGCTGAATCACAGACACAGCCAGCTGAAACTGTCAGTCAGACAGTTCCTTACATCTAGCTTTGCCAGCCAAATGGAATACATAACAATTTAATCATCTTCTGTGCATTAAACCTAAAGACAGAACCCTACTGACCAAAGTACCATATTTTCTGCAGCACTTCTTTGCGGTTAACAGTAGATAAAACATTTGTTAAAATCCAAGTAGCAAACAGGTACTACATAGAGCACACAGCAACTGAGAAAATGCATGTGCTAAGGAGTTAAATGCCAAGGCAATATGAAATGGTCCTGGAGGTAAAGAATACACATTATTTAGAAAGATGCAAGACTGTATAACTGAATTTGTATTGGGTATTTTCCCCCCTCAAATCTCATCTGTATTTAAACAGATACACTATTTTCTGTAATCTGCTGCCTTAGTGAAAGTGTACAATGATCTTAGAAGAGAACTGAGATTTTTTGGGGGTTGTTTTTCAATGAAACAAGAAGAACAGCACTGTGCAAGCCCAGAGTCCCAAAATCTTCTGCTTTATGGAAGACTCTTTTCAACAGGACTCTCCAGACATCATCCACATATTAACTCAGCAGGACACGAAACATTTGTACTGGCTGTGCATCATTTTAGGCTGTAAGTTTGATGGCATAAGCAATATTTCATCGGCCCAGCTGTGCACACACAGACACCCCTACATACCTATAGGATTGCTAGGCACAGTCATACTAATACAGTAAGAACAGCAGGGAAAATGTGGTTAAAGTATGTTCATCCCATCTTTATAGCAATAACTTGGGAGTGCTTTTTGGTGCGTTTAATAACAAACTCATTTTTACTTGCACGCGGAAAAGAAAAAAACAAAATCATGTTCTTGAATACCTTCTGACCTTTTTATTTTGTTAAAACAATAATTCCTTTTCAGTGAAATAACATAAACCTTTTACAGCACCCAATTTATTTTATTTTCTTTCTTTCTTTTTTTTTCAGTCTATTCTAGTGGAACAACCTCTGCTCCTGTGCTCCATCTGTCAGACTTGGAGGAACCTGGGAGAGCCGACAAGCCCTTCATAAATCACCAAGCAACTCTGCAAGTGGCCCCCAACCCCTTCAGCCGCTCACCCCTAAGGGGACGGGGGAAGAATAATCACCACCCCCCAAAAAACCCAACCCTGCACTGTAAACGAGCCCCAAATGCCGGCGGGGTGTGCTCAGGGCAGGGCCGGGGCGGGAGCCGCGGGCAGCCTCCCCTCCTCGGCTCCTTACAAAGACTCCAGGTGCTGGATCTTCTGGAGCTGCTGCGCCTCCTGCCTCTTCCGCTTCCTCTCATGCCGGTCCTGGCTCCTGCCGCCGCTCGCCGCGGGCTCCGCAAGGCTCCTGGCCCGCGCCTGGCTGCCCCTCGCCGCCGCCTCCTCCTCCGCTCCCTCCTCCTCGTCCTGCCCCTGCCCCCTGGGCGCCCGCAGGGCCATGGGCGCGGCGGCCAGAGCCGCGGCGGACGGCGGGGCCCCGGCGACGCCCCCTGCCCGCCCTCCGCATGCCGGCTTCCGGCCGAGCGCCGACTTCCTCCGGCGCCGGCGGCCCCCGGCACCCCGCCCCTCAGGGAGCCGGCCGGGCGCGGGGCTGCCCCCGGCGGTTAGGAGTAACGTGAGGAGTGTTGTGCCTTCCAAATCGATATTAAAAAAAACCCAAAAAACCCCAAAACTCAAACCCCCCCAAAAAACCCACAAACAACTAAGCAAACAAACAAACAGAACAACAATAACAATAAAACCCATAAAACACCAATGTCCCAGTCGTTCCTCCCATGCAGGAGGGCCGCCACTCCAGTCCACTGAGCCCCCACCCGCATCCAGCTCTGGGGTCCCCAGCACAGGAAAGATATAAAACTGCTGGAACAAGTTCAGAGGAGGCCACCAAGTTGATTAGAGGGATGGAACATTTTTCCTGTGAGGAAAGGCTTGGAGAATTGGGATTGTTCATCCTGGAGAAGGGTCTGGGATGACCCAGTTGTGGCCTTCAGATCCTGAAGGGAGCTACAAGAAAGCTATAGAGAAACTTTACACAAGGGCATGTAGTGACAGGACAAAGGTGAGTGGATTAAAACTGAAACAGAGTTTAGATTAGATAATGGAAAGAAAGTCTTTACTGTGAGGGTGGTGAGACATCTGCACAGTTTGCCCAGAGAAATTGTGTCTGCCTCATCCCTGACAGTCTGCAAGGCTGGGTTTGATGGAGCTCAGAGCAATCTTGCCTGGTAGAAGGTGTCCCTGCCCATGTGAGGAGGTTGGAATTAAGTGATCTTTAAGGTCCCTTCCAGCTCTATGATTCAAGCACCAGGATTGACAGCTGTATGGATACACATGGAGGAACATGGCAGTGGGCTGGCTATGAGGGAGCAGGTGTGTCCAGGGTGGGCTGAGGGGGTTGCTTCCCTCTCCAAGTTGAAGATGCAGCTGAGTGGCCTCTGAGGTTGGGGAAAGGGACTGGGTATGCAGGGAGGGCCCCATCATGGTGCTCACTGGGCATTCTTTACTGTGAGGGTAGTGAGGGACTGGAACAGGTTGCCCAGGGAAATTGTGGATGCCCCATTCCTAGAAGTGCCCAAAGCTAGGCTGGATGGAGCACTGAGCAACGTGGTGCAGTGAAAGGTGTCGCTGCCTGTGGCAAGGGAGTTGGAACTAGATGATCTTAAATGTCCTGTCTGACCAAAACCATTCTATGGTTCTATGATACTGTGCTTGCCAGTGACCAATATACATGTGGCTGGAAGGAGGAAAAGGTCAGCATCCAAGCCAAAACTCAGAGGTGGGTTTGGTTTTTCTTTCTTTTATTTTTTTTAAAATTCTGTTGTTTTGCTGTTTCAGAAGGTACGTGTTGGTAATGGGGCAAGATTTTAGCGCCAAAAAGTCTCTAAATAGAGACTTTATTTTGGAAGCAAACCCAACAAGTCTGGCTAGGGCTGTACTGCTGTGGTGAGACCTAACTGACAAGCAAAGGGTAACCTCCTCTTCAGTGTATGAGCACCACTGGCAAGGCCAATCTACCCCCAGCCTTTGCAGTTTCCTGCCTTGGCTGTGATCTCTCTCTTGAAGGATGAGCAGCAGAGGTAGATCAGTATTGGGAAGGCAAAGTTTAAATTTCTACTTTTGTTTCATGCTGAAATTCAAGGGCACGTGAGATTTGGGGAATTGCTTAAGAGCTGAGCGAAACGTGAAAAATATATCTTAGAAATCCAGGAATTGGAGGTGTTTTAAACTGTGATCATTGTGGTGCTTCAAAAGTGCACATCAAAGGCAAAGGATGGTAATTGCTATTACAGCACCCTGTGATTCTGAAGTGCAGTAAGACAAACATGGTCCTGAGAATGCCTGTCTTTTACAATGCAAAAAGCAATCCTACACATTACTTAACAATGTAATATTGTTAATCAAGCACTACTTTAATATTAATTCAGCTTTTGCTCGGTAAAACCTTACCTGGGATGAACATTCACGTGTCATGTTTCTCACTTGCATTCAGCTAAGTGGCTGCCATTGTAACTTCAGATCCCAGGAAACTATTTTTGTCCAGTTAATTGTCACAGTCCTATTCAAGGCAAAAGGTGCTTATTTTAATGTTTAAACAAAATAATCCAGCTTTTGCAAGACATGACACTAATACACACTATTGATGAAGATTTTTATTTCATGCACCAAATTTTGTAGGTTTACTGGCCCTGGAAAGAATGCAGTGGCCATTCTTCTACAGAACAATGCTCAGCAGCAAAGCAACATAACCTTGCAGATACACTTAGCAAAAAAACAACTCCTGCTCTACATAAACTAACTCCAACCTATCCATCTGCCTGAGATGTCATAAGATGTTGCATAAGTTTTGAGTAAACCATTTTCATTCATCCCACGGGTTTGTAGACAGCTTGTGTATTTTCCTAGCAGTGTGTTTTTGGGAGTACCCTTTCCTTGGGTCTTAACTCAGAACTGGCTGAATTACTGGCATGTCTTGAAAAGACAGATCACAGCAGCTGACTTGAGATGCTAAACTCCATTAAGACTTCTTGTCTAAAGCCTTAGAGGCAAAATCAGTTTATTTGCTAATCTGAGTTAAATATCTGTGTATGAGGCAAATGCAAGGTGATGTGGTTTAATATAATCCACTGTGAAGCAGGTTAAGTAGATGATTTGATGCTTGCTGGAGGCTAAGAGATTTGCTGCTGTGACACTGCTAGCATGTGGGAACATGTCAAATTGCAATCACTCCCTTACATGTCCATGTATCTTCAAGCAACAAGTGAGGTAGGAGAAATATTTTTAGGTGTTGCCATTACATTTAAAATGTCTGAAAGAACTTAGGTGAGATACATTATCAAAATGTCACTCTATTTAGAGAAATGGCAATAGTTACTAACTATTACCAATAGTTAGGGACGAGCTGGACTGGGGCCTACTAAATAGAGACTTTATGTTGGAAGCAAACTGAAGTGATATAATAGAGTTTTTTTGGCCCCTCTTTTCAGGCTGGTGTTGTTATTTTCAAGTGCTTTTTACTTCACTTTTTCAAATCAACAGAGTAGTCAGACTCTGAAACAGCTTTCCAGCGTGACAGGACAGTGACAGAAAACTTAGTATGATTCCAAGATGCAGTGTTTCCAGTTCATGAATGGTATTCTGTGGGAGAGGTGTGTGCAACAGCAAAAGAGACAGGAGTTCTCCAGAAACCCTGCCAGTCTTGCTTTCATACACTCTGGCCTGTCCTCACTTGGCTGAAGTAAGAAGACTTCTGCCAGTTTGGAGAGGGTAAGAGCCTGGCTTACATGACCTCAGATTCAATTGCTTCAGCCTTGACAGAATAATTGGCACAAATTCAGGAACTAAGTGCATGGTCTCCACAGAAGTGTGGGGTTCCAAAGGAGGCAGAAGGACAGATCATAGTGTGTATGATCCTTCTTACCATTAAATCAATGGGATCTTGGCTGTGTTCTTTGCATCCCAGTGGCTTGGACACCCAGGCTGTAATTTCTGATCAGATCAGGACATTTGGATGTTATCTTTACTGCAGAAACTTAATGGGGAACACAGGAGGTAAAATTCGATGGATACAGAAACCTGCCCAGACACAGTGGTTTAAATGTGTTCTTCAGTTTGATACAAATAATTTTCAGTGCATTTTCCCATCTGTCTTGGAAATGAACTTAATCACTTTATTACCTGTCTTTGAAGTACCAAGGTCAGGCTTTTTTAGTGAGAGGAGATTATTTAAAACTGTAGGTAACTCCAAAATTTCTTTTTTTCCCTCCTTTGCTGAGAAGAAACCCTGGATTCTTGTGTTGCACACTTACCCAAGAAGGCAATTGCTTTCGTATCAGTCCTTAGGAAAGGTGTTTGTTTCACAAATGTTTTTTTCCTCCTTTGCTGAGAAGAAACCCTGGATTCTTGTGTTGCACACTAACCCAAGAAGGGAATTGCTTTCGTATCAGTCCTTAGGAAAGATTGTTTCACAAATAAAATGAATTGTGAAAAGGAGGGAATAGGAAAAAAAAAAGTTACTTTCATTTCTATTTATTCTGAAGAAAAGGTGCTCAGTATCTGTAAATTGCTTAAATCCATTCTATTTAAAGGGTTTATATTAACTGAGGATCTTGTTTGTGGTACTTAGAAGGGTATTTATTTGAAGTTGTGGGGTGTTTTTTTTTTTCCTGTATATGAATGCAGTGCTTCAGACATTTCAATAAGTTAATTTTTTTGGGAAATGTGTCTTACAACTGGTGTATGGCACTGTAATTCCAGCTTCCTCCAAACATCTAAGCAGAGCCATAAATTGCTGTTGCAATGTGAAGTATCTGAAAAGCCATTATTTTTCATGGTGTCTACTTTATGTAGCTGAAACTTTATGTTTCAGCTACAAGTGATAATACTGGGATCAAAATTAATTTACATCCATGTCATCCCATGGGCATCAGTATTCCTGTGAGAGTGTAGCCCTGGCAGAATGTCAGCCAGTCTGCTTTTCTCCATTTTTGGCTGGCTAGAGCTTTGGGCCAGGATCTGTTTCTGATTATGTGTCAGATATTACGCATGAGAGAGGAATCCAGAACCCGTGTTAGGCTTTGTGGGAAGTGAAGCACCTCCTAATGGGATCCAGAAGAAGCAGATCTCAGCAGGCTGAGCAGAGCACAGTCCAAATCCAGCATGGCCAGTCCATGGCTGCCTGAAGCTAGATGGAGACATTCAGAACAGAGTGAGTCTAAGGTCTGGACCACTCCGACCACAGGGAAGGCTGCCTCAGAACAGCAGTGGCCCTTTAACCAGCTGGGAACCTCAGCTATTAGGGGAGGTGCTGACATTCTTTCTTACAGAGAAAAGTTTTGTCTGAAGTGGAAATGCTGGCAGTTTCTTTTGATACTAGTTTGGCAATTAGAAAATTTGGTTCCCTCCTTGGTCTGGGTATTCAGTGATGGGAGTTCTGTGTCACTGGGATAAAATACCCCATAATCATCAGGCTGACATCAGCTGCATCAGTGGGGGCCATCCACCTTTTATACTGCCCTCTTTGGAAGCAGTAGAGAAAAGCATTTGAGATTCAAGGGG